TAGATAATACGATAAATGAGAGGAAGACAGTCTCATCGGGAAAAAAGGAAAGAAAATCTGCAAAGGTTGTATAATACAGCTCTCAAAATGCTTTCTCTTAAAATTGACCCTTCTGTTGAATGCTCCTTTAATTTACTCAAGAAGGCACAAACTCCAGGCTGTTTCCTCTTGCTGTTTCCCCCATCGAAGATCTTGTGTTGTGGTGAAAATAAAACTTGTCAGCAGAACATTCACATTATGACTGGGTTTGCCAGACGCCCCCAAAAGACTACACACTCCCCTGCTTTCGTCAAGGGAATAAGAATAATATTATACAAGAAATATGATGGATATGTGTGCGTGTGCCTGTGCGTGTGCATGTGCTTGCGTCACTGTATTTCTGTACTCTTCATCGACATTCTCTTTGTATTATGTGCCCCCTTGAGCCATGTGTATAATAATATTTCCCAGATTGACACTCCCTCTGCCATTTGTGTTGTGTAAAACATATTATTATTTTAAATTTAATTCTTTAGATAATAAACAAACATTTTTGGAAATTGGAAATAAATAAATTACACTACACATGTATTTCTTTATCTGAGTGTAAAATGAATATTAATAAACACAGGGGTTTACATCTGGATGAAAGTTTGCTGCGATCTAACAAAGGCCTTTGAAGCCTTGCATTCCAGTTTAATGAAGTCAGCAAAACCAAATTACGTATCAGGTTAGCATCAAGGACACCTGTTAAAGAAAGCGACAGCAACCTACGTTATAATTATAAGAAAACAGAGATAACGGGGGAAAAAGAACACAATCAACCACAAACGAAATTCAAAGAAAATATGAACAGTTTGACGGTTCCTTTTCACAACATAGCTTACAATAAGACTGTATAACGTTAGACTATAAATTTTAGAAAAGAATATCAGAATTTGATCCCGAAAAGAAAACTCGGTTCATATAACAAAAGGCCTAATGCTGTACCGAAAAGGCCAAAATTTTTCACATAATATTATGTACATCAACATGACATATGTACTGCCTTAATAAAATTAATCAGAAGACTAAGACCATTTTGTTAGAATTACCCATGCATGTCCGAGAGTTTGAATGAGGCTAGCCCAAATACTAACCCCCTCCCCAAACTTATAACATTTTGCGAGGCGTGGTGCATAAAACGTATCAGGTGAATTCATCGTTTACCGTGTGCGTGGTGCCAAAAACAGCGGATGTTCTTTATATTATCTTGTGGAACGTTAACGCGGTGTTTTTCTTTTTTTTTCCCTTTAACTTTTCAGCCTTTCAGGACAGCTGTCACATTATGTTACATCAGTTGGATTCATTAAAAATGTTAGCTCTGAAAAGTCAGACCCATCTGTCAAGCTGATATCTATAGCAAAGAATGTCGTAGCTAGTATAAGGACCAGGCCAACTTTTGCTCAAATTGAATGCAAAGATTCATGAAAGTGGCATGTGCAATAATAGTACATGATGTAATAGGCCTAATACATTTAATATTAGCTTACTTGTACTTTAGTACTTAAGTCTAGTCTGTCAACTTTCTCACGCCAAATTGTCACGTCTAGGAACGTGTGTATGTATATTTATTTTTTTTTCTCTAAATATCTGTTTGTTGTTGGGGGGTTTTCACTTCTAGCCTTATCTCTTGACTAAATTTTAATGTTGTTTTTTTTTTGTTAGTTTGTTTGTTTGTACTAACTGCATGTATTTGGATCTGCCTCTAGATATACAATGTATTTATTTAGGGGACATTTATGAAACAGGTTTAATTTTGAACCTCCAAATACGGGCCTGTCAATTAAGCGCATCTTTCTTCAGATTTCAACAATGCACAAATTCATCGGGAAGACGCAAAGATAGGACTAAAGGCCAGAGAATCTGAAGGCATCTGTGGGAGTACATTAATTGTACCGGTTACGTTTACGTGGCTTTTGGAATGCATCTTAAAGCAAATTCAGGAGGGGGAGGGGCTCTCTTGGTCTAAAGATACGGCGTTCGCCTCTCATTAAATAGGTCCTGGGTTCGAAACCTGAAAGAGACGGAAAATTTTCTTCTCTAAAAATCTACCCCAAAAATCTTCTCCTTTCATCCTCGTTCATGCTCTCTAACCATGTCCTCTCGTCTGCTTTCATCTCCTCTTTCTCCCCTCCCCTCCTCCTTTGTTGCCACCTCCTCTTGGCTGCTTTCTACTGCCTTACTATAAATATTGCTACTCCTTGGCTCCTTCTTACTGCCATCTTTCAGCCACACCCCTGGTCTCAGGATAGGTAAGACCTAACACTTAGCCTTCTCGGAAAAGGGCGAAAAAATCTCGGAGGTCTCGTGTGAAAGTTGCGCTCGTTAAAGATTGCTTGGTGGTCCTAAAATCTTAAAGAGTAGAGGCTTCGGCCACCACCCAGGCAAAATTCAGAACGAATTCCCAACAAACTGAAAATGCTTAACGTGTCCCGCACGCTCATAATAGTATGCAGTTGCAAGCGTCGTAAAACACTTTTTTTTAAAAACATGTTTTAAAATAAAAAGCAAATTCACCGAAATATGGAATATCCAGCCCTACTCTGCAACGTCATTGCGAAAAAAAAAGAGTTCAGCATGTGATTGAAATTATTGTAGGCAGATACAAGAACAAGCCTGTCTTCAGTAGAGATAACGAACTAGCTTTCTTAGAAACACTGACAATAATCATTGGCAGATTATTGTCTGGTCTGTCAACTGTCAATTTCAGACTACTTGCCATGATTTTGCAGAATCGTTAAACCTATAGCACAATGTTAGTAGGCATAAAATTGGCCGGAAATGATTGGCTAAGAGGTGTTTGGATATAAAATCCAACAATATCAAAACAGGTATCCTGAGCCCACTAGCCTGGCGAGTGCTGTTGGTTTGAATTATCAAGTCATGAAGTTCTTCCCTATCTGCAAACAAGGGCTTGGAAAGTTCACCCAACCCCCATCAGGCACATAGAATATGGATGAAACCGGTTGTACTGCATTTCAAAAAGCAGGAAACAGATCTATATTACAACTTTTTAAAGATGTAGAGAGCAAAATGCCACAATTGTCTGTGCATCCAATGCAGCAGGAAACGTCTTTGCCACCTACATATTCTGATCCGATGGACAGCTTGTCCTACCCCCCCCCCCCCCCCCCCCCCAGTAAACAACAACTTGGCTCTGCCCTGGGGGGCAAGACGTCCACTGTGAGCGAAACTTAACTTCATTTTATTTTTTTAAATAATATTTTTCTTTTTGGTAAGTGTTTTAAGGCGCACGCAACTGCATACGGTTATATGAGCGCGGGGGACACACCAAACATATTTTTCAGTTGGTAGTTTGTAGGAAATTTTGAATTTTGCCCAGGTAGCGGCCGAAGCCTTCTCTTATCGATTTTGGACCACCAAAGCATCTTTAACGTGCGCAACTTGCACACGGGACCTCCGATATTTTTTTGGCCTTGTCCGAGAAGGCGAGGTGCAGATCTTTCCTACCATAAGATCAGGGGTGTGGCTGAAAGACAGCAGGAAGAAGAAGCCAACAGACAGCAGATAACAGAACATTGTTAAAGAGCAGGAAAGGATGTGAAAGGAGAACATTTTAAAGAAGAAAATTTCCCGTCTCTGTCTGGATTCGAACCCGGGACCTATTGAATGAAAGGCGAACACCTTAACCTCTAGGCCACGAGAGCCCCCCTTTTATCTTTACAATTTTTGTAAAAGTTAAAATGTCTATCTTCAGGTGAAAAGATAAGGACAATTAGAAAGAAACTGTCAAAATAAAATCTTATCAGAAGTTAGGGGCGTCATCTATACACACATCTTTCTTTAGCACTGAGTCTCAGGCTTTTCCACTAATTTGCGCGATTTACCATATTCTTTATATATATATATATATATATATATATATATATATATATATATATATATATATATATATATTAGGACTGTAGGCTGTGCATCTGTTCGTCTCACGTCTGAGATAAGTGTTCTGTTAATCTTCACTGTTCATGTCATCGTCATCCTGTACTATTATTTCCTCTGAACAGTTTCGAGACAACAGAACAACATCAACGCAATAATCGCCGTTTAGAGCAAGGTAAATGTAAGACTGGTAGACCGAAACAATAGAAGGAAATAGAGGTATGACCAGCCTGCCTGTAGTATCTTCCATCTATTTGCACTCTGTATGTTTACTACATAATGTAAACAGTTTTTGTTTAGTGGAAAGAAAATGGGGTAGGGACAATACAGAAACACAGCTTTGAGTTACACTTTTGCTAACGCTGAAGACACATTTCCCTCCACAACAGACGACCAGAAACTTTAGAGCTTGATACAACAATAAAATGATGCCTGGAACAAAAGGGGGGAAAAATTGACAAAAATGATCAAACAAAATATTGCCCACTGAAGTTTGTGTTGACCAAGAAGATATTGTTATGCAACCTTATATGGAATCAGATCGTGGCAGAGAAACAATAAGTATTTGTTGAGGGGGGGGTGTTGTTTTTTTTAGTAAGTATTTTATAGCAAGTGCAAAAGATTAGAGATGTCACAAGAGATTAACAAACAGAAAAAAAGCCACAAAAAAGGAGAGACCATAAGGATGATAGTTGTTCGATAGGAAAAAAGGAGCAAACCACATCAGAGCACCCACCAAATCACCCACAAACAATACCTACTGGACACCAAGTATCAACAATTAAAAATCACTGAAAAGTCAGCAACACCAGATTTTTATAGGAGACACAGTATCCTTCGCTTACATAAAGATCAATTTATTTTTCTTCCAAATCAGAATCCACTTACAGTCAATCTACTGTGACAGTGATGGGACATATAAAGAGGCTTACTACCAAGAAGCATGAACTGTGTACAGGATACTAAATATGGTATTCATAACTTTGCAAGCAAATAGAATACATCATATATGAACTTAGTTGTATCAAACTACAGAATACAAAAAAATAAAGGCCAAATGATAACATAATATGCGCAAAGGATTTATAGACATAATTACGAAGTAAAACAATTGTATCACAAAAAAGTGTAAACTTATATTTGATATCACATAATATTGCAGCCAGTAGTCATCAACACAGAATACTCAGATAACAAAACTAAAAGGGGCAGGAAATAAACAGGAAAAGTCTTCCGGATTCAAGAAAGCCGAAGTCTATAAGATGGTGGAGATTTCAATCACGATGACGATTTAAAATAGAGATGCATATTTTTTGTAATAAATTGTCCATATTCAAGAGCCTTTTTCTCACGTTATGATATAACATATTATGATAATGAAAAGGCTGATTACATCTATGACAATGATGTAAATGATGACACTGATGATGACGATGACGATGATGATCTAAAATTTATACAGATATTTTTAGTAATAAAGTGTCAATATTCAAGGCCTTTTTTTCATTTTACTATACAACATATGATCTGATGATGATAACGCTGTTTATGTTTATGACGATGATGATGATGATCTGTTCCTATCTCTGCCAATCCTGCATTCATAACTATCTGTGGTACACTCAAAATATCTTTTTTTTTCTTCAAACGTTTGAGAAATCATTTACCATAAATGAGTTCAGATTAGCCATTCAACATAATCACATATACACATTGCTGACTTCACACTGTTTCACAGATATGTACTTTAAATAATAAGCTACTTTATCTAACTAAAAAAACAACAACCCACAAGCATAATACCCTGCCTGACACAATGCTTCTGAACCCCATTCATACCTGAATCTTCCTTGGATAAGCCAAGCCTGTGGTCAATCGTCTTACTTCATAGGCAAAAATAGTACCTTTTCACAGACATAATACAAGCAGATACAAAATAGTAGTGATCTAAATGCAAGACAGGTTAAGGCACACGAGAATAGAAATGCTTACAATAAAATCAGTACAAAGATAATATCGTTTCTCTTAAAACTGAGGAATACACAGTCCTCATAAACACCTTTTATCGCCAGTGACCTCCAACAAGAGAGTTAAGGCAACCAAATATGAAATATATCTTTATTTTTATCTGTAAAAAAATGGCATCATGTCCTTTGTAGCTTTCAATCTCTTGTTCCTGTTTGTCTCTGCAGTTCTTTGTTAGCACTCAAAGACTGCCGTACGGTAATGTGCTTTACTCAAAGCAAAACTGTGTACTTTTATGTAGCAGTAATAACAACTTGATATTGTCAAACTACATTTCTCAACACAGATAAAAATATTAAGTTTTACATTCTGCTGGAACATCATACACAAGTATTTGGCAAACAAAAATATTTCTAAGCAAACGTACAGCTAATACGGCGTGATCAAATCTACTTGTTTTTTTGTTCGAGTAAAGAGAGGCACACTGAGAAAGCAACAGTCATCAAGTGTAGGGAAAAAGTAAGAAAGACGGACAAAAACAACAGAGAAAAGAAGAAGAACCTACCAGTGGCATCCTCCAACCACCCAGAATAAATATCTCCAATCCCCGAACAAGACTAAAAACCTCTACAGTGCTCCTCTCCTTATTCAACCCCTACATGTCCTATTCATTCTTTCTAGTCCCACCAACCTGAGAGCATAACTCAGCATCGGTTACACCTATGCGTCTATTCAACTGAATCCATAAAACTAGCAATTACCCCTTAGGAAATCTGGGCAAGGGGCCCTGTAGGCTCACAGGGACAGAACTTAACAGGTTACAGCAATCATGAATCACAAAAACATCTTAAGTACTCTTATCACAAATTGAAAACAATCAGTTGTCTCATTTTTATATTGCTGAAAGCATTGTGATGAAACAATGATCAAAGCTAGTGAAGTAAGGTACTCCCAGTGTTAAAAACCATACAATTGGGAGAAAATGATAATCGCATGAGACTGAGTTTATAACACTGTTGAAGCACAACATTCTCCGTGACATAAATTATAACTGACTAAAACCATGGTGACTTTCAACCTGCCACTACATTCCTATAATAACACCAAGATCAGCTTATTTCATCTTTAATAAAATAAAAGCTTCTCACGGCATCTCTCAGTGATGCTTCTAGACAGATCAATGCCTACTTTCAAAATTCAGCAGATCATACATTTAGCAGTGCATTAGGAACCAAATATCTATACAGATAATGAACAGCACACAACTGAATGTAAAACTGGATGCTAAGATCTCTGAAACAAAACAATTTTAACAACTCCAGAACACAGGTACAAATATGCCGTTTGTGTACACATGCATATGTACACACATACGCACTCCCCAAGTGGTCTGAACTTTATTCTGACAACACAATCATAGTCAAAGACTTGAAGAGCTTTTTAAAAGAGAAGCCCACCAGAGAGACGCCTAACATAGTATGACAAAAGGCAGACAAAAGGAGAACCCTGCAGTCTATAATTACAATTACAATTCATAATCAACATCAAATCTTTTCATTCAAAATGTACTATTATCAAACAGATAGACACAACAATCACTTCCTGAGGAGACCAATTTCTATTGGTCCTTCAAAACCACGAGGAGCATTTTAACTCCTTATAATCTCCGGCAAACCACTTTCAGCAGCTCACTGGTCGGAACCAAAGTGACGAGAGGCACTGGCAGCAGCGTAGGCACATTCCTTTACAATGACTTCCATAAACAGGTTTCTTTTACCAGGAGTTCATTCATTAGATGAACAACTATCAAAATAGGTTCACTTGTCTTGATTTAATGGCCAATTTAGTGACATGTACGTCAATTTTGGATTTCATACCAAAAGAAGGCCCCGGCATAGTGGATTTAACCTCCTCTGAGATAGAGGTAAGGCGTGATCATTACCAAGTTCTCTGGTTTGACACATATACACTCATTTGCAAGAGCATAAGGGTTCACACAAAGATACACATAAATATTACCCCTGCTGTTCAGATTTGACAGGAATACTCAAATCTGCTATCCATATCATTTGGCAAAATTGAGTAAATGTACAACAGTCCTTCTTATTGCTCTGATCAAGTTCATTTGCCCTCTATAAAATACACCTCCTAGTCCTAATCCTGGAGAATTCTGTGCCAGACCAGTGACACTTTGTTTCTGAACATATGAAGTTTTATAAAGCAGTATTACATGCACAATAGAAAAAATATTGTGTTTTAAAATAGAAAGCACAAAGCTGGAGGAATGCATTATAACAAAGACAGAAACAACAATCCCTGTCAAATCACTTGAGATCAGCAGCATGGTTCTGACATCTGTAAATCTGTAGCCAAGCTGTAGCACCTGGCTTTAGTCACCAGCCAAGAAGATATCCATCACTTATTTTCTTCCATCAACAGAGGCCCAGCACACAGTGTATTCAACTTGTGACGTTGTCTGGTGACCAACTGTTCCAGTCTGCAGGTTGAAAAAGAAATAGCAAAATCTTTCTTAATTCAGTAAAATACAGAGGATTTTGGAAGCAAAAAGGAAAACAAGACATCTCATGGCATTAAGTTCCTCAAAGTGATACATATCATGTTTCAACTTCAAGCTATTGTTTTTCATATTGTGATCTGATGTGAACACAACCACATGCACATGGTGAGACCCTGTTCCTTTTCTGCATAAAGGTTTTGTTACTTTTTATTTATGTTGTTCATAGGCTACATAATAAGCTATGATCTACGGGCTCTTAGGAAATGATGATTTGTTATAAAAACATCTTTAAAGCTATCAGCTGGCTAAAAAATGTAAGTTACCAGTTCTGATTTCCTACAATTGTGAAAAGTAAACAAAATTTTTTTCATTTTCTCTTGATGTGCTGAATACTGCGCATGAAAATATGATCAATAATGAGCCCATGGGAACTTTCAGAAAAGCAGACCAAAATTCAGCCGGGTATGAAATCAGATTTGTCAGCAAAACATGGAACTTGAACATGCTTGGTGGAGAAGTATGACTGGCCTTAACATCTCACCACCATTTCTGTCACTACAAAATACATAATTTTATTTTAATAAGGACTTATTTAAAAAATTGAAATTTCTATCTGGAAAATGACCTCAGTGCTAGTACAACAAAGAATGGTGGGGTGGGGGGGGGGAATGAAAACTCGAAAACTATATACAACAGCTTTATATTTATTATCGGAAATTAAACTTTCACATTAAACTGCTTGACCTGATGAATACTTCTTAAATAATTAACTTGTATCTGTTATGTTTCTGCAATGAAATTTTACAATAGAGTAGGCTACCCCAAAAAGGTGAAACACCAGCAGAACTTAATTCCGAAGTAATCTTTCATTCAGGGTCATGAATTGTGCCAGAAAAAAAAAAATTTTTTAATTCATTAAACAGATGTTTAAATTAAAACTCACTTCTTGATCTGATTCGCCTGTGCTAGTTTCTCATTCTCCAATATGGCTAACTGAGCCTCAAGTTTTGCTTTATCCTCCGCATGCTGTGTTAGCTGGGCTGCCACATTGTTGTTTTTGTTGAACTCTGAATCTGCATTTTTCTTCTCTTTCCCATCCTGATAAGAGCTGAGGTTGTTGCTGGGGTCATCCGTAAGAAGGGCTTTCTCGAGACTGAAACAGAATCAGGTTGAGATGACAAAAACAAACAGACGCTGTGCAGACGGGAAGGAAAGAACAATAACCATGCGACACGGTGATGTGTAAAAAAAGAAAATAAACGTGTTGTCCTCTTATATAAATTTACCACAGAACCAACCTCAAGCAAGGGAACAAAAGTGAAGTTGTGGTTTTTTTTAAGGAAAACTTAGTGAAAGTGGAGTCCAGCACACACACAGGAGCAAAACAAAAATCAACAATACATAATATTTTCTTACTTTAAAATAACCATAATGTCTCTCATTTCAGATTATTCAAAACAGTCAGTGACATCAATGAGAAAAAATAACGGACTCCACTCACTTGCTTAGCAGGGCAGTCTCCTTGACATCTTGCATGAGGAACTTGAGTTTAGCGACCACCATGTCCCTCTCTTGCTCTACTATTTTCAACTTCGCCTAACAGAATAAAAACAGAATAACCACACTTTTACTTTTTTTTGTTGCAAAATAGTAGCAGCAGTAAATGTTTCTAAGCAAAGCCCCTCACCCCCTTTCTATCCTTTACACTTCCTCCCCCCCACTCCCCAATCTAAAACCAAACAACTCCAAATGCAGAAATGAGTATGACAGTATGAGACATTTGAAAGGGATGGAACCTATATATAATAATGCAAAGAGAAGTGCATGCCAAAGAAACCTACAATGTAAACATGTATTGTAATCATCAGCTGGAAGAGTGAAGTTACAGGACTGGGACAAATATAGCCTTGATTTTAACAAACAACACAGAATGAATCTAACAGGCTATTCTCCTTGACAATGCAAAACAAAATTAAATACGAAAAGAAAACAATTTTGCTCTCTTGTCTTCCAGGGCACAGTAGTATTCTGAAACTGAAGAACAAGCAAAAAGCTGACACAAACATGAACATCTAAGCAAAAGACACACTATAACACACACACAGCACACTGGAACATTTATATATTCAAAAAAGAATGAGAATCAAAATATTGACCTGGATTTTTCTGGACAAAACCAGCCTTATTAATCACACAAGACCAAGCATTTAATATAATGTATGCTAGTCATAACACAAATATCTCCCCAGAAAAGGGTCATAAACAAGATTTCAAATAGCTGGGTCAGCAATTCAGATCCCTGTAAAATTACCAAATAATGCAAATTTGGTTCATTGCAAAGGACCTACTCTTTCTATTTATTTAATTTTCCATTTCAGTACTAGACTTTTCATCAATCTGATTTCTCTAATTACAACACACGGGATTTCTTCTTGTCATCACTGTAAAAACCAACAAATGTTTGTGGGTTGTTTAAAAAACATTATGAAAAGTACATACACACACCAGGTTAAAAGGCATGACAATGTAAGGGGATAAGAGATGGTGGTGCAGAAAGAGACACAAAACAATCCTCCTCAGATAGCAGAACAAAGAGAATAATTAAGAACCATATCACGTAATTTTCATGTACAGTTAAGTCAGTACTTTGGAACAATCTTTCGTATAACAAATGACTGTCTTTTAGTCTTTCTCTCATGTACTTATGGTCATACCAAAGATATAGCATATTTTCAAAAATATACAAGCAATTAAGAGAAAATAAATCCTCTCATAGCAAAGGCAATGAATGAACTGAGCCCACCTCCCCCCAAAAAACCACCTATTTACCCTTCATAAAAAAAGCCTGTTTAAAATAAAATGAAGGAAATAATAGTTTACTTCATTCACTAAGAATTGAGCAGATATGCCGGACAACCATCACAGCAGTATCATATTTTGATTGTGCCTGTTTGTTCAAGTTCAGCAAAAAAAATATTCAACTGGTTTGGTGATGTTTAAAAAATCTCTTTCATTGATAGACCACCAAAGAAATTCTTGTATCATATGGTTCCTGACATAATCTGGAGCAAACTTTTATTTACATAATACTAATTGATTTAAACTATCAATCAAGCTGTAAATTTTCCCCAGCCAATGAGGTAAGGGGCCAACGTAGGCGAATTAGAGCATAACTCAAGATGTATAGAGGCTGGGTCCTTGAATGCTGGGAAGACCAAAAGCTGGAGGCAGTTAAAACAAGCTGGACAATCGAGGTTAGAACAGAGGTGGGAGGGAAGGGAAGGTCAAACTGAGAGAAGTGATGGGCCAGAAAGAAGGTGTGCAGACTTCTATTTCACCAAAACCCAAAGATGTTGGTGTCATCAGCTTACAAGTCGGTAAGTCATCTTGTTAAAATCTCCAAAAGATTTCTTAGTACAATCTGAGCTCATATGAAGACATCATACCCAATTTTGGGCTTCAACAAGCAGCAAAGCGAACACATCATTTACAGTGCAAACTCATGCCCTTAGCCAATCCTTTCTAATGAAATGTGTGCAAGTTATCCAGAGTCCTTCATACCATGTGTTAGTACGAGTTCCGACAACTATATTTATCCCTGGAACAAAAAGCACAAAAGCACAAAGAAAGACAAAGCTACCAAGATGCACCCTGTCAAACAAAAGCACAATGATATCAGAAACATCCTTTATACATTAAAAAAAAGTCATGACCACAACAATTAATAAAAGAAGGAATTGATTTGAAGAATCATCTGCAACAGTAAATACCTGACTGAGATTAAAATTATGAAAATGTCTTGACTCCCAAGCAAGACATAAAATCAGCTTCAACAACGGAGACCAAGATCACAAACCGTATGTTTTGTGTCATCAATTTGTCTGTGGTCAAAAACAGCACAATATACCCATTATACCAGACAAAAAAAATTCCTTAGAACTATTTCAACATCCAATCAAGAGACTCATAACTATCCATTCTCCCGGTGTAAAGTGTACAGCATGAGTGTGCAGGGAAAAACCAGAGCTCATCCAATGCACGCCCCCTAAAAAGCAAGGGTACAATTCCAAGTGACAGTGACCATGGTACGTTGTCCTTTGGAAAGAAATTTTACTCAATTTTTCCTCCCTCAAATGAGTTGAGGAGTTAACATTTAGATGTCATTATATGCTAAAAGTAAATATATAGTGTCCAGCATCCTGAGCAGGTGTCAGCACGTTTCATCTGTTCCTTTTCACAATGATAGTGAACTTTAACTCCAAGAGTATCGTAGACCTTTCAATCTAGTTATGTTGCTGGGAACATGTGAAATTGCAAGGGCTTTTTTTTTAAATTCAAAGAGATAGAAAATCAGTTGCATTTCCCAACCCATAGTGATTAGACCCCTAAAACTACAATGCAACCAATTGTAATGACCACCTGTCCAAGACAATCATCTGAACAAACCACCAGGACCCACTTCCCATCTTGTATTTTTTACATTATAGTGATACTGTCCATTTGAACCAAATGTCAAAAGACGACCACTTTTCTCCTTGACAATAGATGGCCATCATGGACAGGTTTGACTGTATAAATATTTTTTAAAAAGGTCTTTGACTCTTTTTCAGCAAGAGCTTGCAGACTGTGTAACAAAATGGGATTTCGTGGGAGCATGGAAATCAGCCTTGTCCCTGAGAGTGATCTGTTGTAATGTTGTTGAATGTCATCGATCCAGCCAGAGAGAGATCTAATTGCCCTCTGACAGAGTTAGTGTTACAGAATTTTGCTTTGCTTTTTGACACTACCATTCTTAATATTTAAAAAACAAAATCTACACAACCTTTCTACAAGGTTGAAAGTCAGGTGTGAAACAGACATCATTGGGCTAGCTGTTTTCATTTCTGTAAGCATAAATAAGTGCGAGTGGAAGGGGTGGAGAGGGGGTGTGTGTGCATAAACTTCCAAACCAATTGACCATGCAAAATAAAAATGCACTCAATTGGTATGTAGCTCCCCAAATAAACATACTAAGAAAATGGTTCATTGCTCTTCAGTTTTTTTTCTTTAAAGCTAGCAATTAAGTAAGCTGATCATTTATATAAGAAGAACAAAACTAGGTTGGCCTACTTTTCAATATTTCTGCCAGTCATGTACTGCTCTCAAGTGTAATCTTTCCAGAATCCAAGTTTAGAACAATATTGACAAAATAAACATTTTAATGTACCATAACCTATATTTTTTAACATACTGTTCCAGCCACATAATAACAACTTCAAGCACATTTGGATAGCAGCCTTGGAGGGATTTTGTCAAGCTGTTAGTGGGTGTGTCACAGATTACATGGGGTGCATGACTCAACGTTCACAGACCTAAACACCACTCAACTTACATCTTGATCAACAGCTCAAGCTGAAAATTATAAAAGTTTTTTACAATTAAGACCTGAAAATATTATAAACAAATGAGGGTTTTTTTTCAAAGCTAGAGAGAAGCATATTAGCACCATTGAAGGTCATTTTCTCTTGGGGAAAGGCAAAAATAAAAGTATTTAGAAAAAACAAAAACAAAAAACAAACAAATTTTAAATCCCACAGAGCCTAACAAATGAACAAATTCTTCTTTAAAGAAGAGCTTACAAAGTACACTCTCTAACTACCCAGTTTTATCAACATATTCTGCTGTCAGCTAGCAACAATTGTCCAATACCAAAAACAAAAGAAACAGATCATAAGACAAAAGTAGCCAAAAAAATGAAGCCAACACAACAACAGTGTAAGATCAAAAAGAGCCAGTGATATGGTAATACTGAAGCATAGTTCAAAAATTGATACACAGACATAAGCAATCAAAACAACACAATAATATTACAACAAATGTGAAAAAAACAAGCCTGAAAGAATCTTTTTGATTGTGCAACTTTGAAAAGAAAAATATACAAACCAAACAAAATAAAGAACAGCTCTTCAGCGTCCATTGCTGAGATTGTTAACAATCCTTCTCTTCAAGAGATTACACCATGAACTAGTTAGACAAGTTAAAAATAAGACTTACTACATAACTAATCTGTCAAAACAATGCGACAATCAATCCCGAAAAAGTCAACAAACTGATGTTCTCACTTCATTTAACTTCAAGTATTACTAATTATACATGTACTCTGAAAAGCTGTCAAAGAAACACTGTGAAATTTCCAACAATGGTCCTAAAAGCCTTAAGTTCATTCTTACCTTTACTCTGTTATCACTAGGACCATTGAGGCCAGTGAGTTCCAGGGTTGAAAGCTTTTTCTCCAGTTTTGCTACCTTTAAAGTTGGAAAAAATAAACGAGAATAAAACAATAACTGCAAAGACAGACCTAAAAACTCTTGCATTTTCAGTCTCACAACTGGTGACATAAGAATAGTGACACTGCAATTAAATCAGATAAACAACCCACCTTCCCACAAAGTGTATAACAGTTGATGAAAATTCAAATACACACCCTGTTACTACTGAGGAGACCTCTCGACTTTAAAAAAAAATGCTATTACTTAATTAAGAAAGGGCATGCTACTTACAATAAGTCTTTCAAAGCTCCCCTTCAAACCTTTAAGTCATCTTCACACAAATCTATCCTTTGCAAATAGCACCTTTATTTTTAAAACTTTGTTTTTAAGATCAAAATTGTATCGCTTAAAAGGTTTGTCTCTCAGCTGGCACAATATTTTATTCCTGCTCTTTTGCTGTCTGTCAGACACAAGGAACCCATTAAAATTGGCTCAGATAAAAACAAATGTCCGACTTGAGCCCTGGTGCTTTTCTTCTTATTAAATGCCATCCAGGTTAAACCATTCGCCTTTTCAAAATACACTTTATTTTTCAGTCAACTCAGAAATTATGTATACAATTATTCAATAGACATAGGCTGAAAATAAAACTGATTCCTATGACAATAGTCTCACCTGTGACCTGGCACTGTCCCTTTGACCAATCACCAGCTGCATCTGCTGTTTCATGACTTCTCGCTGCTTTGCCAGCATCCTTTCCATGTGCTGAAGGGACCTGCGCTTATTGACTGGTGCATTTCCTCCAGAGAGATTCAGGGATGATCCTGAGGTGTTCTCAATCCCATCCTGAAAATAATATCACATTCACAGACAATGACTTGAAGTTAAGAACAAGAACAGTCACATTTCACCTAGAAAGAAGATCAAGACAACCTCAGGTCCCTTCCACATGATATTTTCTCCAATTCAACCAGCTGGGAAAGGGTACACAGTTAAGACAATGAAAATTTTGTACATGTGTTACTGTTTTAGTGCTGGTTGAAATGGCAGCTTTCACTGAATTCTTCTTAAGAAGCTGAGCTTGTTTTAAAGTATTATACTGTCTTTCAAGGTAATAATTGTAAAGCACATAAAGCTTACTGTCCAGCAGGGATATAAGCTATAATAATTAATTTATTGTCATTATCAGCAACATTTTCAAAATGTTTTAATAAAGAGAGCAGACCACTCCCCAGCACACACTAATCATTTCCTCAAGCACAATAACAAAAACAGCATTGTATTCAGATGATACCATAAAATTAATGCTTCATAGGAAAAGAGAGAGCTTTAACCATTCCCTTCTCTCTGTGGGCAAGAAATTCAATATCCCTGTCATAAGAAAAAAAAGAGTAGATCCAATACTTTTTTTATTTACCCGGTAAAGCCACAACATGAGAGTCGTAAAGATTCTAAAATTAAATAAGGTGAATCATAGGTACTGAAGTTCGTCTTGTTTCACCTCTATGTCAGCTGTAGTACCAATGATCACTGCAGTAGACTTTAGTAAGGGCATGTCATTTCTGACTGAGCTGGACTAACACTAGGTGTAGCTTTAAAAGATTTTGTCCTTCATCAAACCAGCTCCTACTGGGGTTTGGGGGGTGTACGACAGTGACAGATGTCTAACTTTGAGCTAAATGAACAAATGAAATTTAAAAAGAAAAAAAATGATTGCTATTTTCTACTTCTAGAAAACAATTGATAGCTCTTGAATCTCAAACAGTATGTTTAGTAAGCATGCAACAACAAGATCCTTACATCAATGTCATCATCAGACACTTCCGTCTCAGAGACAAGGAACGGGTCAGACCTGAAAGTAAACAGATAAATATTCACTAAAAATAATTTAGAATAAGAGAAAACTATTTTTAAAAAGGTGTAAAAACAAAACAAAACAAAAAAATGCCAATTTCCAACATCAAATCCACATACGAGACAGACAAAAGACAATTTTAAAAAAATTGAACCCTCATATTTCTGACAAAAATATGCTTTACTATATCATGTCCACCTATATGACATGGTTTTCATTCTCATCCCTTTTGAAATGTCAGGGAAAGAAAGTAGATTTTTTGTACTCCCTAAAAATGAGAAAAAAAATAATTCAATGCAAATCATTCTGATAAGGGTACAATCTTTTCAAGACATAAATGAAAGACTCAAAACAAGCCTGTTCAAGCTGTAAGGACAGTTTCATGTTAATCTTACACTAAAAAATTCAGTTCATAAATTCAAGAGAATTTCAAACTTTCAAGGTTCATTCTCACATCTTTTCTCTGGGTATGGTGCCCTGACAAAAGACAAACATTTTTGTTTTCAAAATCACTTAAACTGTATCTAATAATAATCTAACAATAATAATAATAACAACAATAATAATAATGATAATAATAATAGTAATAATAATAATAACAACAGTAATAATAATATTAATAAAAATAAAGATTTTAAAAAAATCATCATCATCATTATAATAACCATAATCATGATAATCATAATGATTACAATAAAGATTACTTTTATAGTGTCCAATTCCTGGTGGTTCTAGTCGCTCAATTATAAAATAATCGACAGCTTACAAGGCGACACATTTCATGATTACCAGCTCATCCAATGTACAACAATCCTTTCAAACTTAAATAAAAACGTAAACCAATGTCGATAGTGTTTTGTTTTTTTAGTAGAGGTTTTACGGCACTCGCAACTGCATAGGGAGGTCATATGAGCGCCATGTCTGTATTGTGATGGTGAGGATCTTCACTATTACATGCAGAAGACATGGGTTCGAATCCAGTGTGGAAAGGATTTTTATCAGGTATCTCCGTCTATATTCATGGATGTTGTATCCCTTTCAACCCGATGGCCACACTAAGCCAGGTCAAAATAATTCTCAAACATCTAAACTATGACAATGGAGGTGTAAAACATTACAATTACAAATAAGAAACTTGGACAGTTACTCCCTTACCTATTGACACTCCGGAGTCTCATGCGATCCAGTTCCCCAAGCGTAGCGTCCCGGTCATCATCAGCTGACCTGATCATCTGTGTCATCGCTGCATCTCTAATCTTCTCTGCAGCATGTACCTCCTCTATAAGTACTGTAAAACACAAATTTTAATGTAAATTATAAATGTCGTTACATGAAATTACAGTTTGAAAACCAAAAAGGAGGAGAACTTACTTGTCTTTTTTTTATACTTTCACCTTTACTTATTTATGAAACAGTTTTCATCAATTCTTCTGCTGTTGTACTTTCAAGTTGATGCTGCAGGAGAAATGTGTCTGCATATTTATTTTTATGATAACTTTAATTTTTGGTAGTTTGTGACATGTTGATATTAATTATGATTAGCCAATTCCGAGTAGGATGTTTTCCTGGGAATCTATATATTCATATAGAAAAGATGATATTAAAAACATGTAACAAGAAGAGATAACTTAATTTCATATCAAAAGAGCAAAATATCGACCAAATTTGCTTGCATTATACTTTAAATGTAAGTGAAAATCTTATGGCTCATTTAACAAATTTTCGAGATGGCTTAATGTTAATAAAAGGAAACCAAAGTCCTCAACTATCCAGAAGAAAGCAAAATAATAAACCACTATTCATAAAGGACTGTTGAGTTTAAATCACTCTAAAAATACAGAGTGTGATAAAGACTCAGTTAACTTTACCTCCTATTTGTTCAAGGCTCTCATCAACATCACTGCGGGCATCAGACTTTAATATTTCCAGATCACGTTTTGCATCTTTCAGCTCTGACTTCAACTGAAGAAAAGAAAGAAAGGTAAAAACATAGAGTTCAAAAAGAATCAAACAGAAAGAAAAACAGGACAACAAACAAATAAAAATTTGACAGACACTGAAACCAATCAAACAAGTATCCCCAAAGAAATTTGAGATGCACCACATTCAAGTCAGCTATACATAAACGCATGGCAGACATACCAAATAGCTCTTACTTTAGCAAATCTAACCCCATCCAAAGAACTAATAATATTTCATTTCATAGGCATGCTTTGGAAATTTCTTTTTAGTTTTAGTTTAGTACTCGGTTTTACAGCGCTCGCAACCGCATAAGGTCATATGAGCACGCCTCTCTCTCTCTCTCTCTCCCACAAAGCAAACTTGCAAATCATAAAATACTCTTGACTATCAAGCTTCAGAGTTAAATTTTAACAAAGTATTTCTTCAGACAAGAGGCAAAACCAACTATCTAATGTCAAATTCTAATAGGACTGAGCCAAATGATGGAGAGATACATGCAAGCTTTAGAACATTTGAAAATTAAACCTGTTGCCCGTACAACAGCTGAGTGTGACATCAGCTAAGCAAATTGCAAGCCCTCTTCTTATTAACTTGTTCAATAATTGGACGATGCTTCTCAGAACTTTCTGCAATAAAACATTTCACCTCTTGCCATTCCATCTGCCTGAGTTGTTTTAGTTCCAAGCCAGGTTTCATGTCCTGTTCACATCTTCTGCTTGGTCTCCACCTTCCTCTCTACCTTTGCTTCCAGAATGTTTCTCAAGTGAATCGTGGCATTTGATATGCCTAAAGTAGTTCATTTTCAGTTTTATTGTTCTTGAAGAGTGTTGGCTTTTTTTTATACCTTCTTAGTACTTTTTCATTCTCTATGTCCTGTCTCCAGGATATTCTTAGAGTTCTTCTACAATAAACCAAAAACCCATGCAGGGGAAAAGTTTACTTAAAAAACATATTTGGAGGCATGTGACTTTTTAAGAAATAAAAAGAACCCACCTCTTCATTCTCTTTTTTAAGAGTAGCAATCTCGACCAACAGTCTTGAGATGTGACTAACATGATCAGGTACACCACCTGTCCTCATGGAAGTGATGGGTGGTGTTGCTAGGAGCCCGGTATGGGTCAATGATGAAGGGGGAACATACACACTTCCATAGTATAAAGGTGGTGTCGGGTATACTCCTCCCTGCAACAGCGGAGCTGAATGCATCCCGGGACGATGATGTTGATGATGATGTGTCAGAGGGGTTGAATATACGCCACTCTGTGATACAGCTGATGGCAACACATTTCCACCTCCCACAGACACTGGAGATGTGACTGTTGTGGTCATTTGAAGCACAGGGGGATGATCCGGTGAGACAGAAGGTACTTGCTGATCAGGATTCGCCAGTCCACCACCATTCAATATATGCTCCACTTGTTCTCGCACGCCATCATCACCATTAACATCTGAGAATTTTTTAGTTTTAGTAAAGAGTTTTACGGCACTTGCAACACAATAAGGTCATATAAGTGCCGAAGATTAGAGGTGTTACAAGAGAGGAACAAACACAAAATAGAAGGAGGAGAGATCAGGACGATAGATGTTTGATACGAAAGAAGAAGCAAACCACACCAGAGCACCCGCCAACCACCCACCATCTGAGAATGACACACAACATTAACCTGTATAAACATCAAGTTTGCATCTCAAAGAACAAATTGTTAAATGAGTATCATCAACATTTTCCATTTTCTAGAAGATCATGCTTTGAAGACAAACACAAAACCTGTTACAAAAAAAAGTAACAATGATGAAAAGAACAAAAAGAAAAAGGTCACAATTAGGAAATGATGACTTATTCAATCCACAGAACACGATTGAGAAAATATGTGTGTTTGTAGCCATGTAAATTGCTCTGTTAAATGTGCTTGATAGCTGTCACCAAAACATTATATTGTACCCTTTGTTTACCCTTTGAGGAGTATTATAAATAAGTCAAAGGCAAAAATTTGTATTAACATCCTAGATCTCTCAATGCATCCCTAACCCCGAACAAAAACACTTGAAATTTACTTTGTTGTTTGTTTCTTTGTAGAAAAGCTTACAAATCAAAAAGAAAGAAAACGAAATTTGAAAAAGCAAGTGACGAAAAAAACTCACCAAAAAAACAACAAAAACAGATGGCCATCCGTTTATGGCAATAATTTAACAAAATGAAAAATTAAACAGGACACAACTGTACTAACCTCCTAAACCTTGCCTTGTTGGTAATGCCTGATAAGACGAAGAAGCAGACAGGACTTGGCTACCAGAAGTCAGCGGGTTCATTATAGGTGGAAGGCTATCAGCCACACTTGCCTGCCACACTGGGGATGTGTGGGGAGAGGGAAGGCCAAGATACCCAGAGCTCTCTGCTAAACTGGTAGCAATTGAGTCTGCCTTTCTCTCATGCATACCAGTGTTGTCTGCCAGCAACACACCTGTCCCATCTGTGCCCTGCCCTGACTCCCCAGGACCAGGTACCACCACCTGTTCCCCAGTCACAGGATCTGGGCATAAATTATTCATAAGTAGAGTCATTAGGTAGATGGTGGGGTTTGACAGTGTAAGATGTAAAACTACAGACCCATTTCAAATATAGCTCTATGTATGTGATAAAGAGTGAATGTAAAACAACAAATGTGAAAGACAGAACTGTTTACCAACCCACTTGCACACACCTAGTTTGTTTCTGAGGGTATGAACATACTCTTCACATCATCATTGTCTCCCTTTGAATTTGAATCCGATAGAAACACATTAACATGATGATAGTCATGAACAAACAAACAAACAACGACAAAAAATAAAAACCCTCATGAAGGGCAAAAGAAATAGAGAAATGGAAAGATATATACCAACCACCAAAATCCTCAGATACAACTGCTTATCCACTTTGAACAATCACAATCATTAAAAAGAAAGTATCATTACTACTTTATGACTTTCTTTCTACATCTCTGTATTTATTCTATGACTTCTGTAAACATGTATCGATCAAAATATACACACTTATCCTACAAGTGCACAGACATCCCAATTTATCTGTCTCAAGGCATGAAGCAAATGCTGTGAACACACACAAGATGATTTGGAGGAGACGCTTCCATGATGCTGAAGTGTCTGACCACATAAAACCAAGTGGTGTGCTTTATCAGCAACTAGGAAAAGTAAGCAACGTAACAATTTATGTCTACGCTTATACTACAGAAAAATTAATCCTGTAGAAAAGATCAATTTGAAAATATCAATAAGTGGGTGAACTATGCAAAAAGCCTGTTCTCCAAACAGAACAACTTTTTTCCTTTTCAATTTTCATATTAAGCCTCCCCATCTTTACATCATTTTTTTTTAAAAGTAAACGGAGAAAAAGAAAAAAAAATGGTTTAAACCGTATGTCCAAGTAAAGAGAGTTCAGAATACACTGCAAAGAAAAAGAGCTGTGCGTAAAGCCAGTAAGTTATTGACAGCATGCTAGCAACAGTTATTGGCAAACAGAGTATCCAATGACAGAATGCTCAAGCAAGCAGCTGTGCGTTTCATTCACACCACTGTGACAGCAGCTGTTCAAGCAATTACATGCACTCGTGTGCTATGCGGAAGGAGCCTGTACCTAACAGCATTATCAATCATATAATTGTAATGCCTTCCACAATTTTTCCCAAAAATAACTCAAATAATAGACTAATGAAGCGGTAAAACTTCATTTAAATGATACTTATCAAAAGAAAAGCTCAACTAACCTGTCTTATTTTAAAAGACATATTCATATGACTATGACATGCAACATCATAAAAAAAAAGAACTTTAAATGCTTTCTTCAATCAAACTGTAACACCATTAGATAGAAGGAGAGAAAGGGAAAAACAGAGTGGCGTAGAGAAAAACAAAGAGTAAAAGCAAGAGCAGAGATAAGGAGCGGAGGATGAGTGGGGGGTGGAGAAGACACCAAAAAAAAGAAAAAAAAAAAGAAAAAGAAAAATGGGTGAGGGTAAGAGAAGCACAAAAGAAAAGAGCCACTCAAAGTTTGTACATTGTTCTCTCATTGTTACAGACATGTAACATAAAAAAAGGGTTTAGTCAACAGCAAGTGTAAACAAAATTTATTATACTGTAAACATAACATAAACCTGACAGAAAACCTCTTACCACTCATAGCTAAGCTTATTGTCTACATAGGTCTCTGTGCAATAAAACTAAGCTATCCCTAGTATAAGTTTTTGTTTCCTTGAAAAAAAAAAGAAAAACATTCGTCAAGTGTAGAAGCTCAAGCTTAGAAACACACATTTGATAAGCAAACAGCACCAGTTCATTGTGAATTTGCAGAGAAAGGCTTTGCATTTATATAGTAGGGGTAGATGAAACACTATCCTCAAAACCATTACGCATAATATGACCTATTTTTTAGGAAGGTAACTCTAACGTTTAAAAAAAATGCTGTCTGCTCTTCAGGTAAACAAGACTGCACACTGACTCCATGATGTACAGATAAAATTTAAACAATAAGCTTTACATTTCAAGGCTTTTTTTCTGTACGTTGTACATACTAGTGAAATGTGCAGTATTGTACACAGATTATGTTAATATGATAGGTGTGAGCTTCTAATGTACAACCTTGTGTTGTAACTTTCACATTCAACATATACTTCTATCTGTCTCAATAGGAGTGACACAACTTAAGTGATGGTGAGTATGCTGGTCTGTGTGTGTGTGTGTGTGTGTGTGTGTGTGTGTGTGTGTGTGTGTGTGTGTGTGTGTGTGTGTGTGTGTGTGTGTGTGTGTGTGTGTGAGTGAGTGAGAGAGAGAGAGAGAGAGAGAGAGAGAGAGAGAGAGAGAGACAGAGAGAAAGAGAGAGAGAGAGAGAGAGGGGGAAGAGAGAGAGAGGGAGGGAGGGAAGAGAAAGAGCATGTGCAGGTGCGTGTGTGTATGTGTGTTAGTGTGTGTGTGTGTGTGCGTGTGTGAGTGTATGTGTGTGTGAGTATGTGTGAGAGTTAAAAATATGCATATAAATATATAAAGATGTATGGCTGCAATGTGCGTATATTATACAAACATGAGTGTACGTGAGTGTGTGTGGATATGTCTGTATGTGTATAATTTTGTCTGTATGATATGTGTTTGTCTGTGTGATGGGGGTTTGTGTGTGTGTGAGGGGGGGTTGTGTGTGTGTGTGTGTGTGTGTGTGTGTACCGTGTGTGTGTGTGTGTGTGTGTGTGTGTGTGTGTGTGTACGTGTGTGTGTGTGAGACAGAGCGTGTGTGTATGTTTGTATGTGTGTGTGTGTATGAGAGAGATAGAGAGAGAGAGAGAGAGAGAGAGAGAGAGAGAGAGAGAGAGAGAGAGAGAGAGAGAGAGAGGGAGAGAGAGAGAGAGAGAGAGAGAGAGAGAGAGAGAGAGAGAGACAGGACGGGGGACTGGGAAGACAGACAGACAAACAGCCAGACAGGCAGACAGCCAGACAGGCAGACAGGCAGACAGGCAGACAGACAGACAGACAGACAGACAGACAGACAGACAGACAGACAGACAGACAGACAGACAGACAGACAGACAGACAGACAGACAGACAGACAGACAGAGTTGGAAATGTTTTTGCTTATTTAATGAGAAAATATATTGTAAAAATTGACAAAAAAGAAAAAAAAGAAAAAAAAGAAAGAAGCAACTTGAGTCAAGACATTAAATCAGGGCAAATGCACCAAAAACATACTTAGTTAACGCACCATATTTAAGCACAACAACATAACACAACAGCAGCAAATAGCACAACCTTTATCAAATGTGAGAAATCAAAAGCTTCAACTTTCACTTACCATGGAGTGCACTGATACCAGAGTGAGAGACAGTGTCTATCTCCATTCCATTTTCTGACAGCCTAGGAGCAAGCAAATTCTATTGAGCAAATCTTCGTTATGAAGCAGAATAAAGGTGTCAACTGACAGAAGTTCCACGTTGAGAAACAAGATAAGCAGTACACATACCACAATAAGCATCAATAAAAAAGATAGCCATACATCAATTCCTTTCAGTGGGTTAACAAGGCTTTTCAAAAGTGCAAGGTGCATGGTTACCATTTTCTTTTAAAAGCAGAATCTTACTGTGCATTTTTAGAATTAAAATACAGTCGACCACAGATGACTCCAAAACACAAAACTCAAATTCACGAATAGCTTGAACAATATGCCATACCCTAACATAACCGTTATAGTTTTCCTTCTTTAGGCCGCACAATATCCTCAAACACCATTATATAAATGGATGTGCCAAACAGTTCATCTTGAAAAGCCCACCCAGTCAAATTTCGATTGTCATAAATTCAATTACCCTGAAATCATGATGCAAAATAACACACCCATCACCATCGAGAGTATTAGGTTATATGTGTACACCAGGCTCACAACTGTACAGCATGATAAAAGCATTGCTGGTATCGAAATACATCTCCGCACGTTACCTTAAGTGTACATAAGGTGCTAGAACTTCCTTGAATCTGGTCACGTTAGGTGGGGGCTGTGTGGTGAAGTGTGACCAAAGATAAACAGTGTGGCACTGCATTGGTTGGTGAATTATGCTTGTGTTTGTGAGCCTGTGTGTGTATGTAATTTCACAATTAAGAGTGGATATGTATATATACATGTGTAATTTCCCAATTATTAAGAGTATGATAGCTTGACCATTAGACTACCAATGCTACGTACTGGTTTCTTTTCATGATGACCCTGATTTAATTTGCAGCCATTATATCTTCACAATTATTAAAAATTCCCTGATCACTTGATTTTCTTCATTATCTCTCTTTTTTTCTGTAAATTCAGTTAACTCATATCACGGATGTGTTGATCACATACTTTGTCTACTCCCCAATGTGTTCGAGATATCCATGCTTGACTGCTGGTCTAAAAAGTTGTTAGACTGTCTAAAAAAAAGCAGGCATGAAACAGATGCAATAACATTTTAAATACTTCTAGCCTAAAAGCAATAAACAAAATGTTCTTTTCTTTTACACATTACACCATCATTAAATTTCCTTAAAGTTTATTATATGAGCACCACAACTCTTTCCAATGATGGAAAGTCTATGCCATGGCTATGAAATCCCCCATACTCTTTAAATAGTTTTCCCTCTTTTTCTGGTTTTCACATTATGCTACTGATGCTGCAAGCCCCAGTTTTCAAAATTAAAAGAAAACCTTACGAGAAGATTAAATCTGATAATCATAACTATATTTATACGAACATGTCATTTTCAACTGATGAAACTACTTTTGTCAAGATATTTTTCATCTGTGCTCTTCCAAACCACTTCCTACCCATTTTACCCCTTTTTCATTCATCCTCATTTCTTTTTATTCTATCCACCATCCACACACAGACACCTCATCTTTGGCTTTCTCCACCTTCCTCCCTCTTTATCTTGTTGCCAAAAAATTAAAGTCATTGTGAAACACAATCATTAACTAGGTCAGATTCACCCTGCTTCAAGCTAAGAGCTAATCTCTTATTACCAGCTATTAAAAATATTCTAATAATCTTTTCTAAATACAATTTACAAAACAATTTCATAATAGAAGTTGAGCATACAAATGGTGAACAATTCCAAGAGGTACAAATAACAATTAAAGGCACCACGCCCACTGAAGCTGTAATCAGGTGAGGTAAATAACTGTGGGTGTCACATTCAAAAGGGAACCCTTATTTTTACTGAAACTGACATAAGAGCTCTATATATTTACAACAGACTTACTTTCTTCAGTCTTGTGAGGAAATTGCCATGAAAAAATAACCTTTATCTAAAAATGTTAAGTACTGCAGAGAGTAGAAGAAGCAAAACTATTAACGACTATGCAACAACCACCATGAATTTAGTACTGGCTTGCACTAGCTATTCTATAGTTAAGACAGTAAATAAATGTACAACCAAATGTGCAAAAAGTGAGATTCAAGTCACTGAAAATTACACCTATTAATTAATTTTAAAAACCAATTTCTGTTTTGACATCAGTTTTTGAATGTTTGATCCCATTCCCATTAAAGCTTTAATAATCATTAGGCAAAAAAATTTTTTACCAGAGAAGCAAAATTTTCTTTACACAAACATCGCTGAATTGAAATTGTCATTGTAGTGACTTGAGTCCCATTAGGTCCGTGAGTCCCAGGGAGTAGGAAATTCAAAATCTCACCTAGCTAGTTTCGATTTCCTCATCTGACTCCCGTCTTCCTTATCAGATGTAACGCTGACATCATTCCTTGAGCCACCAACAGTGTCATCTTGAAGTCCTTCAGTGTCGTCATTAGTTTCATGACCACCAAAGTCACTATCCAGCTCAGATAATGGGTCTTTTTTCTTCGCACGAGGCAAGCGTGAACGCAGCTCACCATTAACATCAGGATTATTATAAAGATCCACAAGATACTTTTGGAGCCTGTGTTCTGCATCCCTCCGCATTTTTCTTTCTTCATCAATTATTTCATCTCTGAAATGAAAGTTTAAAAGATAGAATTATAATACAATTCCATACAATGTGTAAAGTTGTAATGACAGATTTAAAAAAAAAAAAAATTTTTAAATATAAGCAGTTGCGAGCGCCGTAAAACCCTATACTACATACTTTAAAAAATATAATTATCAACAATTATACAACTCTATAGGAATATTCACACATCTCAGTATAGACTGGCTAGTGATTATTCTCACCCGGGGCGAGGATAAACTGGAAATTATTCTCACCCGGGATGAGAATAAAATTGATACTATTCTCACCCCGAGTGAAAATAACGACAGCCTACTATTCTCACCCGTTTTTTTCGTTTTGGACATCATAGGACCCCTGTTACTGAGCGCTCCAGGTGACAAAACTCGCCTCCCTCTCTCACTCTGCTGAACGCGCGAGGCGACTGAAATCGCCAACGGGCGGGCCAGCTCTCGAGCTTTGGAGGCGACTATTGTCGATTTGGGGGAAAACCTCTTTTGACCAAATAGCATCACCTTTTGTTGCTACAGTATTAATTTATTGGTTCTGTCATGGAAAATTTTACTCTTGAATGGTTTAACCAATCAAAATTAAGAAAAAAATAAGCCTAGGGTCAAGTCACTGCGTTCCTTGAAAATAATTGTAGGTTTTGCTAGGGATAACAATTAAAAATGTTTTTTTGTGTTGTAAACAAATGCCAATTCTAACATTACAATGACAAACTATTAAAACATTATTTCATTAAACAGCTTTTAGTTAAGGCTATTATTTTTAAAAACATACTACTCTGGCAAGTGAATTCCTTTCTGAATTTAGAATATGTTTACACTTGTCTACCGTTTTGGTGAAGATATGCGTGCATAATCTCAATTCAAGATTTTAAAAAATGAAACAATAGCAATCTCCACGGGAGCCTAGAGAATAGGCCAGCGCTCTGGGGCAGGTAACAAACGGTCACTCTCTTACAATTCACAAATTATTTTCTATCATCCGTTCTCAACACCCAGGTAGATCTAAAAATCCATTGCATTTTCAGACCGGGTGAGAATAATATTCATTTTATTCTCACCCGGGGAGAGATTTACAATATATTTTTATTTTCACTGCGAGTGAGAATAACGACAGACTTTAAAAAAATATAATTTCCAACAATTACTTATCTATCAACTCTATCGGAATATTCACACATCTCAGTATAGACTGGCTTATCTAAAATCACAAAAAGGAACATGATATTCAATAGGCCTTTAGGCAGCGGCATAGCATTTCCCTTTTCATATCATTTTTTTTTAAAGGGCATCACTGGGTTACTTTTAGGTTAAATTTCTTTCAAAACAAATTTTGTGTCAAAACAAACAATATTTTGACAGCCTAATTTTAGACTCCACCCAACGCTGTTTAAAAAGTGAAATATATACAGTCTTACAACGTCACTGAGCAGTCGATTTGTTAAAGTATATCCAGAAAAAGAAGGTGCTAAATTATAGTCTCCGCATAATTTATATTTTTTTAAAGTAATAAATTTAAGAGCATCTCCTTCCATGCTATAAACAGAGAGATCATAGCACAATAGATCCTTTCCCAAACACCCCTCAGCTCAGCTGCTGACCAGTTGTTAGGATTGTTGAGAGAATGGGAGGCCACACTAGATTCTTCTAGATAATAAACTAAATCTAGATCTAGATCTAGATTCGAGATCTAGATCTAGAGATTAGATCTAGATCTAGAAACTATCCAAGTTTTATGGTATCCAGAAAAGAAATTTAATAAATCTGTGCACAACTATTTTGTCGTAGGTCTGAATTATTCATGTCTATGAATATAGTAGAACACAGTGAAACAGTTTGCATAGAGTCGGAGAGAAACAAAACATGTCCAAACTTGCACGAGTCTCTGGTGACAGACAGTTTAAATAAATCAGAGCTGAAAGCTGAGAGAAAAGATAGCTAAGACTAAGACACTCCTTGGCCTTTTCAAGCTGAAGGGCAATTCACCTTTACAAAGCAACAGACTGTTCAAGCGAATGAGCGTCATGTACAACTTAACACAGAGGCCCATTCTGAAGAGGAGGTTCTCATTCAAGAATAAGGCCTCTATGATGATTTATACTATTTTCTTCTACTTATTATTAGGTCAAGGAGGTCTAGAACTTCTCTACACTTACTTTTCATCGTTTTCGTCCCTGAGGCGCACTATTCGGTTCTTCGCTTCTTCAAGCGCACCACGCAATGTACTGAGCAAAACTTTGCTATCCCCATTGAGTTTCTGGAAATGTTTATCTGGACCCCGGTCCAAACGGCGGTGGTATTTCACTACTGGAGTCCCAGGAATTTGTGTGCTAGATTGGTTGTCATCCATTTTGTTTACGTTTCCCAATTATCGGATACTCCGAGTGGCTCCCCCTTCATGAACACTGCAGCTGTTATCACCTAAAATTATTATGACCCAACCAATATTTACACATTTTTAATTTCTTTGAGGTAAGGTACTTTTTAATCTGAATTTACCAAAATGCATATTCATTATTTATAAAGAACATTTGTGAGTCTTCGCCTCTTCTAATACTTTCTATCTATAGTCTCTTTGGTGGGAAGCGAAAAAGTCTAAATTTAGAATGCTAAATTTAGTATCAGCAAGAACACATCAAAGGGAGCCAACCCACCCAACCAACTTCAGATTTCGGATCAGATCTGAGATCATCAGTCAGAGGCCAGAGGAGTGAGGTCGATCGACACTGACTGACACGGACAGTGGACAGACAGACACACATGAAATTGATCTATTCCTTGTCAAGTATTGGGCCGGTATCGCCTGGTCGTGAGGACAGAGTCTAGTGTATAATTGGCAATTTCGAGGTCTAATGTAGATCTGGGACCAGATATCTTGCCCGTGTGTGTCTACCGAGGCTCTAACAACTTAAAAAGTAAAAGATGTTGCAGTTGCTTACGTAGCTGGGCCAAGGCTGACTCAACTGGTCTCAAGGAGCTGTTTCTCATTTTTCCGCCTTGCTTTATTACGTTAAAATTGTGTTTGGCTAACTTCTGAAATAGGCTTCCCTTAGCCTTAAAGTAAAATACCGTTGATCCAATATGGATGACTCGTCACCTTCGGAGATAGTTCACCTCAATGTTGGTGGGACACGGTAAGTTTTCTAGTTGATTACGACAGCGACACTGTGACAACTAACGCGGCGACTAACACTGTGTTAATTGCAACAGAGTGACTCTGTGACAATAAATGCAGCATTAATTGCTACAGTGTGAGTCTGTTACAAAAAATCAATTTAAAAAGAAAAAAGAAACGCAGTGGCTATTTTTACGGCGAGCCGTAAAGATAGCCTCCCAGGCTATTTTTACGGCGTGCCGTAAAGATAGCCTCCCAGTGAGTCCCAGGCTATCATGTACACGACATGCCTCAATGTATTAGATCTAGGCCTATAGGGGCCGTTCAAAATATAAACTTACACCTCAGTGGGGAAAGGGTGTCTTTGGCTTCTGTGAGAAAAGTGGAAGATTGGGTGGGGAGGTGAGATGAACGTTTTGCTCAAGATTGGGTGGGGAGGTGAGATGAACGTTTTGCTCATGACTGGGAAGAAAAGGTAAAAGAAAAAGTGGATAAATGCCAGTAACAAGACCCAGATCTGCATGATCACTGCAGATCCCCGTTGTTGTTGTTTTGTTTTTTTGAGAGGGGGGGGGGGGGTTACAAATAATTTTGAAATTATGATGAAAATTCTGCAGGTGGACATCTAATTTCTTAATGTTTCTTTGTAACCTTGCAACTGTTTTGTTGATCTTTTAGTGTCTTGATGTCTTTTATTTGTAAGGCGCGTACCTATTGCATTGACAACAGTCTCAATGTCTTCCACATATGCGTTCTTTCTAGTTCGTATGGTTTGATTAAATTGTAATAACTGAAAATGTTCTTTTTACGGCGGTCACAAACTGATGACGTAGAACACGTTTTTCAGTCTTATAAATTCCGTCTTGGCTTGTAGGCCTTGTAGGCTACTACCTTATTTGTTATTTTACACATTTTACTACTACATTTTACTAAATGACCAAACTAATGTAACATACTTTGAGCTGGTTAAAACCGAGAGTAAGGCACTATAATTAAATGTCCATTATTATTAGTATTATCTTAATTATAGTCTTTATTCTGGACTTAAACAATTCAATGTTTTTATGTTCTTTACTAGGACCTTGTTGTTGTGGGATTCTTTCAAATAATAAAATAGATCGCATTTTTTAAGTTTTTGTGTTTTGTTTCTGATGTGCTCATATTATTACTGTCCATCTTTACGGGGAAAAGCTCACCCCAAGGGTGATTCTTTTTCCGATTCATATTTAGGAAAAAAAATTATACGGGCATAAGAAATAATGAAGAAAGTAAATTTTGATAAGTCGGAAAATATGAAAGTTGCCATGGAATGGAAACAGCACCAACATGCAAAACAAACAATAATTTTTTAAAACCGAAGGCTTCTTACTCTCGAACAAAATTGCATGAAAATTGGTGGAATGGTAGATACAGATACTATGGTCAATCGTACTGAGCAAAATTTTGATATTTGAATGTAAAAAAATATATATATGTGTTCCTGTACCCTGAAATTTCATCACAATAATTAAATTAATCATTGTGAACACACACAAAAAAAATTTTACACCTCTATCAAAAATTTGCTCAGTGCAAATTATAAGGAAGGAGGAACATTTTAAAGGCATTCTCAAGGCGAAAAGTGTTAACTTCAAAATGGCCGCTCTTCTTGTGGGTGTGGTACATGTAGTGATGTCAGTGAATGAGATGATGATGCTGGCAGTGGCAGTGATGATGGTAATGATAGTGACGAGGAGGTGGTGGTGGTGGTGATGATAAAGAGAGGGTGAATGATGATGGTGGGGAGAAGAAGGAAGAAGTGGTGGTGGAGGAAGGGAGAAGGAAGATGAAGAAGAGAATAGAATGACGGTGAAGAGGGGGAAATGGAAAACCTATGGGGCTGTTCAAATATAATCTTACACTTTTGGGGACTTTTTTAAAACACAAAACCCAATACCACTTTTCTCCCATTTGTCTCCAACCCCCACCTACACCAATTTAATATTAGTACTTTTTCCGATCTTCAACTTCCATTATTATTTTATAGATACCTGTACTATACGTGGCTTTTTTTAACTAACTTGTAAAAAAAAATATCATTTCAGTTAATACAATTTAATCAAACCATATGGACTAAAAAGAAACGCATATGTGGAAGACATTGAATTGAGATTGTTGTCAATGCAATAGGTACGTGCCTTACAAATAAAAGACATCAAGACACTAAAAGATCAACAAAACAGTTGCAAAGTTACGAAGAAACATTAAGAAATTAGATTATATCCACCAACAGAATTTTCATCATAATTTCAAAATTATTTGTACCCCCCCCCCCCCCTCCCCTAAAAAAAAACAAAAAACAATTGGGATCTGCAGTGATCATGCAGATCTGGGACTTGTTACTGGCATTTATCCACTTTTTCTTTTACCTTTTCTTCCCAGTCATGAGCAATACGTTCATCTCACAGAAGTGTCATATTTGGTTAACCTCCCCACCCAATCTTACACTTTTCTTACAGAAGCCAAAGACACCCTTTCCCCTCTGAGGTGTAAGTTTATATTTTGAACAACCCCTATAGGCCTAGATCTAATACATTGAGGCATGTCGCGTACATGAGAGGCGGAGTAGGGAAAATAGCCTGGGACTCACTGGGAGGCTATCTTTACGGCTCGCCGTAAAAATAGCCACTGCGAAAAAGAAAAGTAATGCACGTACACGCACTCACTCACACACACACACACACACACACACACACACACACTACACACATACAATTACACACATGCGGCTAAACGTAGAACGATGCACCTGCCTGATTAGCTGAATATTTAGATTTTAGTAATGAATGTCTACTAATGTGATGTCATCACATCCTGGGATACCCACAGACTGTTTTTAGAAGACCACGGAGATACCACAAAGATTCTCTTCTACACTACAAACCACACGATCTTTGGAGATACTGCTTGGGTCTGCGGCTTGACATATTATAATTTTAACCGCATCGATGTGTTTTGCACGGTAAAATGTCACACTTGCGGCTATCTGCAGCACATCATCCATGCTCTGGTGATGGAAGATTGCTTAGATCGTTGACTTGATGCTCAGAACAGTAAGAATGCTGATGCTTGAAATTAAAACACTGTAAATGCTAAGACAATAAAGTGCACGAAAATTGCCGTAAAGTCGCCCGGAGATTATCCCCCATCCCGGCCCGATAAATAATGCGCAGAAGAGATTTGTAAGCAGCAGCATCATCGGAGTACCGCATCATATCACATTACAGGTACGTCTCCTGGAAAAACATTGCAACAAATGTCATGCCATGGTAGGTATACACATGATCTTTGGTGCCATGCGGTTGGCTATGTTTAGAATCGATGTAATCACATGATCGGAGGGGTGTCCTGGTCTGACGTCACACAAGATGGCCACCTTACCTAAAAATAGTTTGCGTCGTTCTACATTTAGTCACTTTTGTCAAATACACACACGCACACACTCACACACACTGACACTCACAAATACACTCACACACATAGACACATACACACACACAAACGCACACAGTACACGCTTGTGACCTTACCCACACACACACATACCCACACCAAACTAACAGACAAACAAAGACAGTCGCAGCTCTTTTCTTGTTGTTGCTGTTGTTGCCCCTAGTGGTTTTTGTTGCTGTTGTATGCTGCTGGTGAATTATAGTAATATTTGTTGCCTCAATATATGGGCTGTCCATAATGTATACAGATAAAGTCACATCTACTGTACAGAAAGTCTTTGTGGATTTTTGCCACACTCTTTAAGTTCGCCTTTTCAACTGTTTCCGATTATTTCTTTCTAAAGGCAACAAAATTTTAATCTTTAAATTTAGCAAAAGCTTTGTCAAATTCGTCGTAAGATTTGAATGCCTGCTCAAGAAAGCCTTTCGTCTTGTCAGGCAGAGACTAGAAACTAGGACCACACTGGGAAGCGAAGCATAAATGGCAGATGATGTTAATCGCTAAAGAGTTCCGTTTTCACTCTGTCGCAGTTAACTCTGCGTTAGTTGTCACAGCGTCTCTCTGTCGCAATTAAAACAACAAAGAAATTTTATACACTCACTGAGTAGATCTAACTAACTCACTACTCACTACTACTCCGCTATCAATCACATTGAAATTTTATCGTGATATCCTTGGGATTGTAAGCAACCTTGTCAAAAAAAAAAGTACATGGTGTTGAATAGACACAAGACTTGGCATTTTAACAGGAATACACAGAATCTCAATTTGAACAGGCACCCGAGCATATTTCTTACTGAAAGTGAAAACGGCAGCAGGTGAAAATATGGAAGGAATTCCGCAGAGGGCCGGCCGACCAACAACACCCAAAAGAGGGGGTATTTTGAGCAGGGTCCTAGCCCTAACCTCCTAACCCTAACCCTAACTCCTGTACAGTTTGATCAGTGGACCTTGTCACGACAAGTGTCGACCCTCTGCGGAACTCCTCCCGAAAATAATAAGTCGTATATATTGAATGAATGGCCTGGCCTCGGCCTAGATCTAAATATATAATGGAAAACTTTGAGTTTGAGAAAGGGGAAAAACAAATTTCCAAATTACTAGCATGTTCTTGGTAAGTGCACTACTTTTTGGGTTGCTTTCTTTACTTTCTGATTTTTAGAACAATAAATTTAAATGAGATGATTGAGACTGAGCCAGGGAAAGGTGACAGTAATTACTAGTCTCAGCTGCTGTGATCACCACTCAGTCTAGTCGTGCAATAAATAACACAAATCAAGTTGTCCAGGCCACTCTTCACTCTCATACTCCTTTTTGTGTTTGGTGGGCTGTGAAGGTTTCTTTTTTAATTATAAAAAGTTCTACGCGTTCTAAACGGTACTTGAGGGTTTTTCACATGAGTCTTCGGTGCTGTTAGTGTTAAATTCTACAATGACAATGTATAAAATGAGGAAGACAGTGAGCAAGGGTAAGGCAAAACGAAAAGTATCAGACGAGGAAGACAAGATAAAATAAAGAAATGGATTGCCGCCACTCAGAGAAGGAGCAACGTTTCTGTCGTGAATTCATGTTCACGTCCATCGTTAAATTCCCTTACGATTTTGAATGTGTATTGTGGGCAGGGCTTATAGGTTTTGACGGATCATATGCATCCCTCACCAGCAGCTGAAAATGTATGGTTACCGTGTGGTCAACTTAGGCAAACAATGGTGGGTGGGACCTACCCAACATGATTGGACATTGGAGTTGCAGGGACTAACAAAATAATGACAGGTGAATGGATTATGACGGCTAGTCCATAGCATCAGGGGCCAATACATAATTTATGACAAAACATTGGGCGATTAGAGAGTGTGGTCGTTTTTAGACAGGTTTTTTTTCATTGTTTGTTGACAAAATAGGGTGGCCACTGCTGTGTTGGATGGGTGACCATTTTACACAGTGAAATGATATTTTTAAAAACTCAAGGGGGGGGGGGGAATGGAAAGTAGCTGCTTGTATAGGTGGCCTTCATGACAGGTTCGACTGCATTTTTACTATCTTTTATTATTGTGAAGATTTCAATGAATTATATATGTTTTCACAGGTTTTCCACTTCAAGACAAACACTAACATGGAACCAGGACACATTTTTTACCAGGTTTGCAGCTTTTCTATTTTTGTTTTGATAATCAAATGTAATGGTTGCTTAAAAGTTTAAAAGAATTAAATACCAGTGTTTTTCTTATTACTTGTAGGTCTGTACAACAGGGTTAGGAGGACCACAGCATTGTAGACTTTTAACTTTTTTCTCAATGTGAATGCAATAGAGTTCCAAATCCTTGCTCTGAGTTTTTTCTTGTTTATTGTCGTTCATAAAAAAGTGTCATGAAAATAAAAGCATATTTAAGTTCTATTATCGTTTTGGTTGGCTATGCCTGCGTTATTCCCTAAGATGATAATATTGTAATGACTTTTGAGGATAATATGTATTACTGATTTTGAAAATATTTTCTTTTTTCAGCTTACTGAGTGGACGGATATCATCGCACACAGACGAAACTGGTGCTGTGAGTACATGATCTGTTTGCTTCTCAAGGACAATATGATTTTTTTTTTGTTGGTTATTCGTATTTGAGGTTAGTAAGAGCCAAATTTTAAAATCATATATTTGTAGTTCAAGCAGCAAGAAAGTAAGCTTCACATTTCTTTGTCACTTTCATCACTGTGCATCTTCATGTTTGTTTCAAATATATATATATATTTTATCACTATGATTGTTTGTTTTTTCTACAGGAAGTGCCTCCCAAGCATTTTTACTTTGCGAAAGCCCATTTGTGGACTTATGTACTTATCTCTCAAAATCTAGCAATTTAGTAGATATGAAGGTCCTTCAGAAGAAGCTATGTCACATTGGTGATATTCTGTCTAGAGTTAATATACAATGGCTGTGTAAACGGGATTTTCAGTGAGATAGCGAGCAGTTCAGATACTTCTATGTTCTCATGCTGGGCTTTGACAGTGGCTTTTTATTTTAGTTGCACTTCCCTTCAATATTTGTTTCTTTATTTTTTTTCATTATATTACTTTGTACCCTCTCTTGGAGTCCTTATAAGTTCTAGAATAGGTTCTTTGGAGAATAATGTAATATTTGTTAATGTTTGTCTTTTCAGATTTTTGTCGATCGGGATCCCAAGTTGTTTTCTGTCATTCTGAATTTCTTGCGAACAAAAGAAATCCAATTAAGGTAAAGATTATATGATTATTATTTAATTTCTGATTTTCTCTTGTTTTATAGATGACTTTTAATCTCTTCCTTTATATTCTAGAAAGCGCTACATGACTTGAGATGTATAAAGTGTGAGCCACAGGGGAATATATTTTTTCAGCATTTTGTCTTCAAGTTTGAAAGAACAATGTTTACTTCTGAAATGTTTTGAATCAGTGAGTTAAAAAAGAACATGATTCAGTATTACAGTGCTCCTTTAATAATGTCTCTGTTTCAGGAATGTTGAACTGTCAGCCTTACGTCACGAAGCTGAATTCTATGGCATCACTCCTCTAGGTCAGCCAATTTCAGCTTTCTTAATTATTGACATTTCTGGAGATGTGCATATGAAATAATGAATTTCTGGTCATATAGTTAAGCCGTTTATAAGGACACTCTTTTAATGTTCCTGTAATGCAATGTTATTTATGTTTTCAAAATTTTTGTGTTCTTGTTAATGTTGTTTTACGTTTCAATCTTTAAAAGCCAGTTTTCTATTTTATCTGTTGTTAAAACAGGGATCTCCTCTGTAGTTTTTGGTCGTAGTAAAAGAAGTTAAGATGGAATGGCTCAATTTTCCACCTTTATTATGTTTTTCATAATTGAATATTTCAGAAATAATGATATGGTAAATGGCATACATTTTTTCTTTTATATGTATTCTTTCAGTGCGACGACTTACTCTCTGTGAGGATTTGAATCATTCTTCATGTGGTGATGTCTTATTCCATGGATACTTCCAGCCGCCTAGTATGTCTTTTGTCATATCCTATATGTTCATTTATATACTTACATGACATATGGGCATACCTTTAGCTCATTTGGTATGGAGTTGGGCCATTGTGCTAATGACTCTCATGAGGCATGATGATTCTTGTACTTGGTTTGTTTAGGAATTTCTTTTTCCTTTAAAATTATGTGTTGAAAAGAAATAAAAAAACGTGCCTTGAGAGAAACTGTATTATAACCATGAAAAAGCCTGCTTTACCTTTAGTGTAAAGGTAGTCTATGTGTATACTTTGATGTAATAGGTCTGATTTATTTCTACCTCATTAGTGTTTTACATGGAGGTTTGAAAAATATTACATGTATTTTTTTCTTTGTATTTAATCCAGCCCCACCATTACCAAGCTCCTCTAATGTCCGCCAGTCCATCGTCAGTGTGGAAGGGGGAGAACTCCGCAGACCTGGGTCCACAGGTCTTCAGGAATCGTCAGCCTCCTCTCATAGTCACTCAAGGTTAGGGAGAAAAAGTAGTTCTGCACCAATATAGCTCTCTTGGCCTCTCTTTCATGCCCAATAGGTATCAGTGGTCATAAATTGAGTGTTTGCTATTGGACTCGACTTTTGCCACAAATGGGCTATTTACAAAACCAAGCTGTCTTTTCACTTACATTTTCTCACATATATACAGAAACACGAAGATCTTTTTTTTCTGCTTTGTTTTTCCCTGGGTAGTGAGTTTGTTTCAGCACTACTGTGAACTTAATTTTTTTGCGTTTTGATTTATGGAAGTAGAATTTGTCTTCAAGGACAATTAGTTGATCTGTCCTTCTATAATGACTTTCTTTTATGTTCTGAGTAAAGCATCTGACTGTTCTGACAGGAGTTCATCCTTGGACAGCAGAAGCCAGCATCAGCGACAGTCGTCCACTGACTCGAGGTCACTAGCTCATGAGGCACGCCGATCTACAGCTGACCAACGTCCAGACTCACAGCATCTGGATGTCAACTGGGGGAGATCCGAACCTGTAAATCCTCACTGTAAGTTATTGGAAGTGGTAGTTGATGATTCAGGGACTTACAGTACAGATTTTGCCATTTTGTGAAATTCCTTTGTGGAATAAAGAGTTCATTTCATTTGTAGTGTAGTTCCATGAAACAAAGTCACGGTATAAGGTCCAGTAAAACATATCCTCAGTGTTAGGACCTGTAAAACATATACTGTGTCAGGTCTTGAAAAGAAAAGGGGAGTGATGATGTTGCTTAGTGTGAATCAGTGGGGGAACGAATGCTTAATGGTAAGGGAGTGTTGATGATGTTTGCTAAGTATGAATCAGTGGGGGAAGGAATGATTATTGGTGAGGAAGCTGTTGCTCTCTTCCGCGAAGGTAGTAATTTTACTGACACTGCAGTATTTGTAGGTGAAAGATTTTTTCCTGTTTCTTTTTTTAGATACTTAGTTGTTTTTTGTTTTTTTGTTTTTTTCAGTGACAGAATATTACATGGCTTCGTATTATATGTATTGTTAGTTCTTAGTTCTCATCCGGCTATTAGTGTCTTATAATAAAATTACACGCTTTTGACCAATATATATGAAAATTATAATCTTTTAAGATTCAGCATAAGTTAAAAAAGTTATCAATTCCATACGTTTTTTGTCCCAGAATATTGGAGAAAATAATGTTTTCCTTGTAATATTTCAGGCTCCTTTGTGGACCCGCTGCGTGTGACTATGTTACGTGCACATCAGAACTGGATCTGTGCTGCCTATCCTCATTTTATATGTTGCTACAGGTAAGTTTTTGTACTGCATTGTCTACTATGGTCTCTTGGTATACCACATTAGCATTGTCAGACTTTCTGTCTCATGACTGACAATTTATTAAAAAGTAAAGAAATTAAGGTTCCATTTTATTTGTCCCTTTCTGCGATTTGTCTTACGTTGACTTATTCTAAATATTAAATATGCACATCATTTAAATCCCTAGGGTATTCATAGGAAATAACTGATCAACCATTCAGATATATGGAATTTTTCTAAATTCAATGTTTATCTGACAGTTTTTGTCCTCCTAGTATGTACAAATACGTTAAATGTTCCAGATGCGCAGGAAAAAAGAATATTGTGCTTTGCCAGGGATCAGAGCTTTTGAGGGGTACTGTTTGCTTCACTGTTATTTTTGGGGGTTTTTTATTCTCCATTTCAGCGTTCACTGCTTTGAACAGCTGGTTTTTAGGGGCCCGTAGAAATCTTCTGTCCCTCTTTCCTCTCCTTTTTCCTTTTTTCACCACAGAAGAAGAAAGCAAGACTAAAAAATGCTATCTGATAAAAACATTGTTCTGCTATTTCTGGAAATCATTCTGTATTGAAAGTCAATAACTCCTTTTGGGAGTGGCAAATAGGTGCCTGGTTTAGTCAAGAGTCTGAAATGACAGGAGTACCTTTAATGCACATAACTTTTTCATGTGATAATGGCAAAATTTCCCTAATCCACCACACAATTCCTTGCTGATAAAGTTAAGGTGTCCATAATTTTTTTAATGTCTGCAATAGTTTTTTAAGAACGTGAACCGCAATGTTTCGACAAGATACGAATAAGTGTCTAAAACAGGACAGAACTGTGGAAGGTTTCTTGTTGGGACGATTTGTGCCATTTTATTTTCCCCCAAATATAGCATGTGCTAAATGTATATCTTTCATATATAGTATAAGTTCCCTTTTTTGTTGTGATCAGCACATATTTCTGTTTAAATGTCTATCTGTTATCTCTTCCAGAATGAAGGACAGCACCGGATGGCATATGATATGGAAGAGCCAGCACATGCAAACCCAGGTAGAACGTGTGGCTCTAAATGCCAAGGTGATCAGTTCGAACCAAGACAACTCCAACAACAAGATGGTGGCCGCATCATGTGGCTCCACTGTCTGGCTGTGGGCTGTTAGTGATGAAGGTGACAGCAGGCAGATAGGTGAGTGACTCGTTTGTGGCTTGCAGGTATTCTGTTTCCGAAGAACTATTGTTTTAAGAAGTTCAGCAGTCTCTGGTCTCATTTATTTTGGCCCACTTTCATGTTGTATGGATTAAGAACTTCGGAAGTGCTGAGTTAACAACCTGTTTCGTCTTTGTTTTATCATTATTAAGTTTTATATCTCATTATTCTCAGATTTATGTAACCTTTGTCTGTATAGATCTTGTTGGGTGTTTCCTTTTCAAAAACAGTACCAACTATTTTTTGGAATGCAAATGAGACTAACAACTTATAAATACTTTTTACCCTCATCTCCAGGTGTGTTTGACCTACATGTTTCTGTAGATCACCTGTTTTTTATTGGAAGTCAGTTGGTGGCTTTGAGTCGAACTGGCAAAGTGGGTGTGTGGCATTCCATGACTCAACATTGGCAAGTGAGTACTTTCTTAGAGTTAAATAAAGTAGACGTGACTCATGATTATTTTTGTTGTCAGCTGTCTTTACCAACTTTCTTTTTACTGTTGTATTGAGGAAAGATATGCTTTTGAAGTTGCAGTGGTATGTCGTTGTCACATGGACAGTCAGGATCTTGACTATCTTGCTGATGGTCATGTTTTAGTATTGAGGATAGATATGTTTTTGAAGTTGCAAATGCAAATCGTTGAAATTTAAATAGTTAGGGTCTTGGCTTTCTGGCTTACTGTCATGTTTGTTATAAAATGTCAGGGTAATGGCATTCGAATGGGTCTTGAAAATTACCCACTTTGTGGTAAGAAATGCAGTAGTTTTCAAATAAAAGCTTACAAAATTAGTTTACTGTGTCAGTTGATATAAGTGCTAAAACATAAATTAAGCATTCTAGTAAATATGTTGCCTCATGATATTTGAATCACTAAATTTTTATCAGTCTCATGGGGTCTTGGAAGAAGTTGTTTTGAGAATTGTAATGTTATTTGTTTCTTTTTTGTGGTGGATGCCATATTTGCATAAGTGGTATATTCTACATGGTGCCTAATTGCTTATGTTTTCCTTTCTATTGTTAATTTCAAAGTGAAATATAAACACATGGTTTGGGTGCCCCCCTTCACTCAGTTGGAGGCATACTGGAATAGTGTGAAGTGCACTGATTATAATATCCAAAAGTTTGTCCTTGGATCAAGGTTTTTTAAAGAGTTTCTCTTTCTCTCTGTTAACTTTGTTGGAGCCTACGGGAGATGAATATTAGATTGTGAGTGGTTGGCGGGTGCTCTGGTGTGGTTTGCTTCTTCTTTCCTATCAAACATCTATCATCCTTATCTCCCCTTCTTCTTTTTTATGTTTGTTACTCTCTTGTAACACCTCTAATCTTTTGGCGCTCATATGACCTTATACAGTTGCGTGCGCCGTAATACCTCTACTAAAAAAAGAATATTAGATTAGATGTCCACCCCTATGTAAATGATTTAAATGTCAAAGTATGGTTTAAATCATTTGGTAGCTAAAAAAATAATCCTTTTAAAGATATTTTTACCTGTAGTTGTGTATTTGTTGGTTGTCCAGGTGTAATTTTTTGTGATAGCATACTGTGATGCTATGATGCTGAATACAAATTTTGACTTTCAGATCCAAGATGTTGTTCCAATCACCAGCTACGATACAGCTGGATCTTTTCTCCTTCTTGGGTGCAAGGATGGCTCTATATATTATATAGGTAATCCGCTGTGAGCTTTGTTCATTTATAGTTTCATGGTCCAATTTTATTTTATTTTTGTTTAGTGATGATGTATTCTATCGTATCAAGCCATGTGGTTAGGCTCTCGGACTTGCAACCGTAAGGTCGTGGGTTCGAATCCTGTCAAGGGCCCGACGTTGTGTCCTTGGGAAAGGCACTTTACACGAATTTTCCTCAGTTCACCCAGGTGGGAATGGGTACCCGGCTATAGACAGCGAAAATCCTTGTCAGTTTGTTATTGTTTGAGCGCTTAATCAGCTGCTTGCACTGTATGCTTCCCGGGAAGCTGAAAATGTTTCGGAGTGTTCTATGGTCTGCTGGGGTAATAATATAGTGTAAAGCGCATAGAGCCTGCTGTCGAGCGGGGATATGCGTTGTACAAATGCTATCTATTATTATTATTATTATGTGAGAATCAGAAGATCTTAGGTAATAGGTTGCTTTCTCTCACCAGGAGAAAATTTAAAAACTAAACTTGTTCTATCATTTTTAGTCGTTATCTTCACTCTCCCTTAATAATCTTTGTGCAATGTTTGACTGGGCTCTTGTAAAACTCCTATTGTAAGACTTCCAATGCTTTACCTTTGTGCTGGCCAACTGTTGTGGCATAGTCGATTGCATACTTGGCAAGAATACAGAAATTCAGGATTTGAAATTGAGCACTGTCAGTATTTTAGCTGTCCTTCCTGAATCGCTTAATTTTACAGCTCTGTGTCTTGCTGAATTGTCATGGTTGTGCCATATGACCTAAATGGTGTCATAAAGGGTCGCAAGCTTTAAGAATAAATTCAAAGCCCTCGTTGTGTACTCTTTTGACCCGCAAGGCCAGGTATATGTACAGGTTAAGAAAAATTGTAAATATAAGCCTTATGAAGATATGTCAACTGTTTATATATTTTATTATGTTTGCCAAGGGCACACTGATGAGGTGCCCCTGTCAGTGTTTTCTTGAAGGTGGATGTGTTGTTACAAGGATTGAGCCTTTTTCAGAAAATGTGTTGGTGTCAAGAAATATCTCAGTTTAGCTTTTGACTTTGATAGTAATTATTGTTTGAACACCTTTTTAAGGTTCAGCATTTCTTGTTTTTGACTGTTGGTCTCTCCTCTTCTCCACAGACATGCAGAAGTTTCCTTTACGCATGAAAGACAATGATCTACTTGTCACAGAATTGTACAGTGATCCAACATGTGATATGGTGACTGCGCTCAGTGTTTACTTGACGCCAAAGACAAGTGGGTCTTACATTAATGTTTTATCTCATTGATATAAATGAAAATGATTATGTCATCTCAGTTTGCCTATTTGTTATTTTGAAGATTAGATGTACCTGTCCAAGATGACCACCCATTGTCAAGATAAAAGTGGTCCTTTTTGAGTAATTTTCATGGACAGTGTCATAATATGTGTAACATAGAAAGTAAAAATGTAAGGGAGGGAATGGGAAGTGGTTGTTTGTACAGCTGATTGTCTTGGGCAAGTGGCCATAAGATCTGGGAGAGGGGGGTTCAAATGTATCAACTTATTTCACATTTCCTCTCTTCCTGTTGTTGAAGGCCAATATTACGGATAGTGTGTACTCTTTTTTAAAATGAATTACAAAGATAGAGTGGAAATGGAGACTATGGTTTGATTAAAGAAGGGTAAGTATTGTGCAGATGCTTGAATAACCTCAAACACACCTGGGACTGCTGGATAAGAATGTAATACAGCCCACCAGTAGTCTCTAGTTTGTCATTAAATCATAAAAGATAATATTTTCAGAGCTGAAAGCTTGTTTTTCATCTACTAGTAATTTATTGCTTCTTTCGTCTTTTTCTGCACTATCTCTCATTTAAGATGTTGTTTTGGCTTCTGAAGTCTTCGCTTGTTTTTTCTACTGCTAATAGTTTATTGATTTTTTTTAAAATGTTGTTTATCTCTCGCCTAATATGTTTTTAAAAAATTTTTTGCTTTATCATGTTTACTGGATTCTTCACTTTGTGCTCGTCGTTTTTTTGTTTTTCATAACAATGATTGAAACTGAAATTTATTTTAAAATCCTTCTCTGGGCCGAACAAAACCAAACATAAGTATACGACTCTCCTCAAAAGGTCTGAGTGGCAACTGGATAGAGATTGCATATGGCACCAGCTCCGGTACCGTGCGAGTCATTGTGCAGCATCCAGAGACTGTTGGCCACGGGCCGCAGCTGTTCCAGACCTTCACAGTGCATCGCAGCCCTGTCACCAAGGTCATGCTGTCAGAAAAGCACCTTGTCTCAGGTTTGTTGATGCTACTTCTAGTTTCTATATGATTTTGTTACTGATCTGCTTATTGTGGGTGGTTGGCAGGTATTCTGGTGTGGTTGCTTCTTCTTTCCTATCAACCATCTATCATCCTTAAATCTCCCTGTTTTCTCTGTTTGTTACTCTCTTGTAACACCTAATTTTCGGCACTTATATGACCTTATTTTGTCGCAGTTGAAGGAAACTTTCTATAAAAAATATGCTCATTGATGGTGCTTGACACAAACTCTCTCCTTTTAAGGTGGGGAGGGGGCTACGCTCAGGAAAGGTATATTTTCAAGGACAGAATGTAGTGTCACAAGTTTACATGAACAATAATATTAGAGAACTGTTCACATGACTGTGAAATAAGTAGCCTACTCATATTTTTAGCAATGCCAGGGTGAACTTCAACATATTGGAGAATGGTATTAATTTCTTCTTTTTGGGGGCCTTTAACACTTTGCCCCCTTGGGACGCTGATTGGTGACGTTAAAAAGCCGTCCCTTTTCCCCACGGGAGGCCGTTCGGCGACGGTGTAATGTAGCGTGTACTACATCTGTATCCTTGCCTGTGGGGATAAGCGTTGCACGCTCTGTGTGCTGCGTGGGTGGAAAGTATTAAAAATATATCATTATTAACTTTGTAGTCTTTGAATGATTGGTTTACTCCAAAGATTTAAGTGTTCACTGTTTAAAAAAGTGTGAAATTGCAGAGTAATGGTTCCTCTGTGTATTTGTATTCATTCAATGACATTTTTCTTGTTCTCTGCCTTTCTATATTTCTGCCCTCGGAGCTAAGTGTTTTGACTTTGAACTGACTTATTTTTGTTCAGTAGAGTATGAAACTCTTTCAAAAACAATCAGAGGTTTCATCTGATAATTATTGATAACTTTAAAGACAATCTTTTTGTTGTCGTTCCTGTCTCTTCCTGTGCACAGTTTGCTCTGAGTTCAATCATGTGAGGACATGGAACGTCACCCGCTTCCGAGGTATGATCTCCACACAACCTGGCTCCACACCTTTAGCCTCGTTCAAGATTCTCTCGTTGGATGACCTGGATCCTCTTGTCAGCTACACTGCTGGGAATGACTTTGGTATGTCTTTTTTTAAAATGTATGTATGTATGTATGTGTGTGGACGGGGGGCTCTTAAACTTTTAAATAAAACAATGGCCTCTCATGCCAAAGTGCCTGGTGTGGTTCCAGTTTCATTCAGAAAATTTGTTGTTTTTATACCTAAGGTTTTTTGCACTCCTGATCCAAGAATAGTGGGGACTGGTTGCCTTATCTTTCAAGATATACCAAGAAGCTGGGAAACAATATCACAAAAGGTGCATTGGCTGTTAAAAGTGGGGGGAAAAGAGAACAACTGGAGAAGCTAAATGCTCAGGCAAAGATATAGTTTGATACCTATCCAAAACTTATTATGCTTTTCTGTTTGAATGATTTAATGCATGTCCGAAAATGGCACATGGCTGCCTTTCATCGAACATCCATTGTCCTTATCTCTCCTTTCTCTTTTCTTTGTATGTTACCTTCTAGTAACACCTCCAATTTTCAGCAGTTATATTTCATGTCCACATTGTCTCGTAAGTAGGTACCAGAAACTAAATTTTCAAACTAGCTGTATGCCAAATTTATCTGTTTCATTTGAAAGGCCTGTATCCACTGAGCATTTTGGTACCATTTTTTAACATCTCCGTCAATTTTTAAGAAAATTGTAGTTGTTTAAAATTTGATCAAATTTGTTAAAGTCAGTCACTGGCTGCAACCCAATGTTTGACAGACAATAAAAGAGTACCAAGAGCACTAAACATCTCCACATTAACAGAGTACAATCACTATAACAAATAAATGGAGCCTAATTTTTTTCAAGACTGTGAGATCATTACAAATCAGTATTTTATCGCCTCAAACACGATGATCTGTCGTTATTTCGACAAAAACACCGAGCTTTGACCCAGCCAGCGCCGCACCAGCCCCGGCGGCGAGCGAGTCGGCTCTATACTGTAGTGTACCACGAATGCGGGGTCACATGCTTTCTGAGTGTCGCGGAAGGATTGATGAAAAATAATTCCAAGTTAATTACTTTATTCTAATAGAAAATAAACTGATCTTTTAATTGATATTTGTTATAAGCCGGTAGGCCTATTTGACATATTTTGTGTAAAAAGTGATCTTTAAACATTTTGACGGTATTTTTAAAAGCTTTCTATTTAGACGCCAAAGGCGAAACACATACCACGGGAAAGCCCGTTTAAAGCTCTACAGTTCTCCGCCAATGAAAAGACGATATTTAATCATCCCTCGTTCCGTGAAGCATTTGAATGCACGCGTGTCAATTTTTCAACCGGCTGACCACGCATTCCGACAGCGAGGGGCTTCGCTTTCGTCGGCGATTCTCCAGCTCCTAATAATCGGACATATAAACAACTTACACCATTGTAACGAAGAAAAGCTGAACTTTTATAAGGTGTACGGCATTTGGTGTTTTATAGCAAAAGAGCAAAGAAACAGCGATCGGAATTACCCCGATTTCACCGATACCACGCAGTCAGAAGGCCGCGAGTGCTCGCGAGGCCGTGTTTACGCTACCTATTGTAAGTGCTTTAAAACTCTTGTTAAAACTGAGATTTTTTAAAAATCTAAAATTTTGAGTTGCTTCCCATGAAAGTCTTCTCTTATGTTCCCAGGTCCGTTTGGAGAACAAGATGATCAGCAGTTATTTGTGCAGAAAGTTGTCTCTGATGCTGACCAACTCTTTGTCCGACAGTCTTCTAGTGGTCAACGGTAAGCAGTCAAAACTAATATTAGAGGTGCTGATTTTCCAAATATATATGGATTTTACCTGACTCTTTGATACAGTTTGTGTTAAAACAATATCCGTAAATTTTGTGTCCCTGTGTATGCATTTCCATGAGGACCAAAGAGTTTGGTTGTTTTTTGGGGGGGGGGTTTTTGGTAGCAAATTGGCACCTCAATGATAAACCTTTTTCATGTTTTTCTCTTACTGTCAGATGAAAATTTTGACTAAAAGTGTATGTTCAAATTCTGAATATTTTTCTGAACATAGAAATCTTGACCTTTGTAAAGAAAAAAGAATTTATATCAGGTGTAAATATACCCCAAGTTTAATCCCCACCCCACCCCCTTTTTTTTCTTTTCTTTGTATCTCTCCAGTATCTGTGTGATCCGCTCTGTGGATGGGAGTACTATCAGCTCATTCTGTGTACACGAGTGTGAGGGTTCTAGTCGCATGGGCTCCTGTCCCCGACGCTACCTCTTCACTGGACACGCCAATGGAAGCGTACAGGTCAGTGATGGAACAAACTAGAAGCATGAAAAGAATTTATTAAATGAGTTATGGTGGGAGATCAAGGGAAATTGCCTAGTTTCAATCATGAGTTTCGAATGATTACAACTGGCAATTTCACAAGTAGGATAAATCTTGGTCTCCCACCATAACAAGTGTAATAAATCTTTTATACCGTAGTGACATGAGCTGACAAAATAGATCTAGACCAACAAAGTTCAAATCGCCATTCAAGTGGTCAAGAGGCTCTATTGCTTTTTGTAATCTGTTCTCAGCAAAATGTGGCTGTTGTAGTGTAAATTGCAGCAACTTAACTATAAAATGTTGTACTGTGCCAATGCTTATGGTTTGATCTAAAGTGAATTTGACATTAATGGATGAAATGGAAATTTTAAAAGATGTTTTTAATTTATTAGTTTCATGATATACATGTGTTTTATTTTTTATCATCAGATGTGGGACCTTACAACAGCACTCGACCACTTCAAACAGGAGGATAAAGGTATGCATTGTATGGGTGGCTATTGTTGCATAGTATGAGTGTTTTGAAACTTGTGTTGGCATGATTTTTAGATTTTTATCATGTGGCTCAGAGGTTGCAGGTAGTGTGTGAAGATTCTCGGATTTTGAGACCTCTTGAACTTCAAAGCAAAGTATGATCGACTTTGAAATAGTTGGTCATATTGTTCTGATAAAATTTCAAGCGGTAATATCTCAAGAAAGAAACAGAGGATAGGATCATGTTCATATTCAGTGGATTTATAAGAATGTTTTCAGTTTTAAGTTATCTCTGACTATTGGATGTTTTTGCAGGTGGTGCTTAAAAGGTCTGCTTACTTTGGTAACAATAATGAAAGGGACTTCTTCTTAATTTAGAAATGTTAAATTTTTGTACATTTAAAAAAGTCTTTGTTCTGTCTCCTAGGACTCAAATTTCTTTTTTGATTTTTTAATGTCTTTCTTTTCTTGTTCGCTCAGCCAAAGATCAGCGTGAAGGTGGCCCAACAGCCAGTGAGCTGGTGCGACTGCTGGAACAAGTGGACCTGAGTTCTTCGCGCTGCTCCACACCTTGTGTCAGCCCTTCCTCCTCCATCCTTGTGGGTCCAGGCTCTCTACCACTGTCCTCTCAGCCAATCAGCGGCAGCACGTTAGGAGCAGTAGGAGGAGCGTGTGCATCTGGCTCTGCGTGTGATAGTGAACAAGGGATTAATGTGAAAGTAAGTGTTCTCATAAGAAAGTAGGTACCAGAAACTAAATTTTCAAAATAGTTGTATGCCAAATTTATCAGTTCCATTTGAAAGGCCTATATCCACTGAGCATTTTGGTACCATTCTTTAACCTCTCAGTCAATTTTTAAGAAAATGGTAGTTGTTTAAAATTTGGTCAAATTTGTTAAAGTCAGTCACTGGCTGCAACCCAATGTTTGACAGACAATAAAAGAGTACCAAGAGCACTAAACATCTCCACATTAACAGAGTACAATCACTGTAACAAATAAATGGAGCCTAATTTTTTTCAAGACTGTGAGATCATTACAAATCAGTACTTTATCGCCTCAAACACGATGATCTGTCGTTATTTCGACAAAAACACCGAGCGTTGACCCCGCCGGCGCCGCACCGGGCCCCACGGCGAGCGAGTCGGCTCTATACTGTAGTGTACCCCGCGTGCGGGGTCACATGCTTTCTGAGTCTCGCGGAAGGATTGAGGAAAAATAATTCCAAGCTGATTACTTTATTCTAATAGAAAATAAGCTGACCTTTTATTAGATACATTTTTTTAAGCCGGTATTTTACATATTATGGGTAAAAAGTGATCTTTAAACATTTTGACAGTATTTTTAAAACCTTTCTATTTAGACGCCAAAGGAAAAACACATACTACGGGAAAGCCTGTTTAAAGCTCTACAGTTTTCCGCCAATGAAAAGACGGCATTTAATCATCCCTCGTTCCGCGAAGCATTTGAATGCACCCGTGTCAATTTTTCAACCGGCCGACCACGCATTCCGACCGCGAGGGGCTTCACTTTCGTTGGCGATTCTCCAGCTCCTACTAATCGGACATAAAAACAACTTGTACCATTGTAACGAAGAAAAGCTGAACTTTTACAAGGTGTACGGCATTTGGTGTTTTATAGCGAAAGAGCAAAGAAACAGCGATCGGAATTACCCCGATTTCACCGATACCACGCGGTCGGAAGGCCGCAAGTGCTCGCGAGGCCGTGTTTACGCTACCTAAAGAAAGGTCTCTTAATCTCACATTCAGTCTTTGTGATCCTTTTCAGCCCAAGGGGCCAGCAGCAATGGCGCAGTCAGATATGAACTTTTTTGTTGATGGAAACATATGCACACTGTTGTATGTACAATTGAATGTATGTGTATGGACAAGTTGATGAATGGATGTGTGTGTGCATTCATGTATACACCATGTATAAGTATTTATGAATGAGATCTTCTGTCTTTTCAGGTGTGGGTGGTTGGCGGGTGCTCTGGTGTGGTTTGCTTTTTCTTTACTATCGAACATCTATCGTCTTTATCTCTCCTTCTTTTTTCTCTAATCTTCAGCATTTTTATGACCTTATTGAGTTGCAAGTGCCGTAAAACTCTTACTAAAACTAAAACTATCTTTTCAGGTGGAAGGGGAGGATAACGGGGAAGAAGCAGAAGGGACGGAGGCAAAGGGAAATGGAAAACCTCAGAAAGGAAGCTGCTGGGTGTGACTGATGCCTATGTTGCCCTTGTGTGACGAAGTGGTCCAAGTCTTCTCTTTTCGAGGGCAATGATGCTGTTTAAGGCTACCACTTTTCTGGAATTCCTGAAATGCTCCATACTTTCCATTTCTTGTATGATTTTGTGACTCTCTTTTAATGTTATGGAAATGCTTGTCATTGCTTACCGTCCAGTAAGTTTCTGCAGACCTACAGCATTTTGTAGTTGCTTTCCTCTATCATTCCCTTCATCCCCCCCCCCCCTCCTCGTTTGTTATTGCGGCTAAAATTTTGGGCGTACAGGAACAGACAATAGATGCAATGAATATGAAAAGTCCCATCTTTAAAAAGACTGTATATTGGTAGTCACTTTTATCAGGGACCTAAACACAATGTCATCTCAGAATTCAATGTCATAAAAAGCACAAAGTTCCAACTCTCATCTGTTATTACTAGCAAAATCATACAGTACTTATTCCTTATAGACAGCAAGTGCACACGATAATCACACAAGTCTGTGTTTCTTTTTTCTGCAAGTTCAAACGAATTGTGTTCTTCTGACGAAAAAATGCAGCATTTTTATAAGCTTTCCCTTCCCTTGATTATGCATGGTATGTCATATTTGGAACTATTTTTGATTAGCGTGGAATGAATGAGTCCATACTGTTCTTTTTTCAAAAGAACTGAAATTTGTAGTTGAAAATTTTCAAAACTAATGTAGGCCTGTTATGTTTTGTTTGTTAGTGGTAATATGAGCGTTGTTGTATTGATAGTTTTGCCAGCTTCCCAAACTGTATGTTAGTACCAATAGCAGTTCAGTGCTGGGTCTGGTCATACTCTTATTGTAGTTTGGCTTTTACGGACTTTACTGCGTGTGGGTATGATATGTGGTTCTTCCAAATTTTGTTGTTTGATTGTGAGAAATGTGTTTTTGTTGTTAATGATTTGTAGTGCCTGCAGCTGCGGATCTAAAGAATGCCCATGTAGCTTGAATTGTACAAATGTTTCTTAACATATACATTTGAGAAACTGATTTTGTTATTACTTTAAATGTTCTGACAATTGTTTTGGGTGAAATTTTTTTCATTTTGCTTGTGTGAATATGAGCATGCACATCTTTAAAAGTGGCTGTGTAATGGAGAGTTGTGTTAAAAGATTTGGATTTTTCACTTTCTTATGTTGTCACACGAAATGCCATATTGTTGCTGTTTTGTGTTCAGAAGTTTAACCACAACTACCATGTTTGCATATTTATGAGTGAATATCCTATTCAACAGAACAACAGTCAATGGATGCGATGTTATAAATTTTATTAATGTGTGTGTATCGGTCCACTGAATAGCAAGAACTGAGATTGTTCTGTGGACAGGGGCTTATCTAAAGTCAGGCTAATTGGGAACGGGTCGTCAGAAATGTGTTTAGGGAATGGAAGTAAGCCCAGTGTACTGATCTATACTTTCAATGAAGGACGCCTTTCCATGCAATTAAATTGCTATAAATCTGTTTAAACTAAAACCGCCTTTCAAACAAGAAATAGGCATACAAATACATCCCTCAGAAAAGAGGCTTCTTGTGTTGAAAATTGTATACATTTGCATTTATACAATCCACATGACTTCGTGTATACATTATGTATTGCCAATTTGTTAGTGTGTGAGCGCTTAATCAGCAGCTTGCACTGTGTGCTTCCTGGGAAGCAGAAAATGTTTCTGAGTGTTTTAGTGTCTGCTGGGGTAATAGTGTAGTGTAAAGCGCACAGAACTTGCTGTTGAGCAGGGATAAGCGCTATACAAATAGTATTATTATTATTAGTTTTGTATTCTTAGCTGAACAGTAGACTACTTATATATTTTAAGGGTTATCCATAATGTAGGATTTACCTACATTATTTACCTACTTTTCTGAAAGTGCTTTAAACATGTTTAGAATACTAGTTTTCACATTTCACTCCCCGAATTCAAAGGGCTGATCTTTCTGGGCTCTCTCCCATAAGATTACACAGTCAGACATAAGGACAACAGTGTTATTTCACTGCTTGTTTTGAGTGCTATTTACCGCATTATGCCCCTGACTGTGCGTGGAATTTTATTTCATTGTCAAAATTTCCCATTTTATGGCTTTTCAGGTCTTGTTTACGGAAACTTGATTCCATGACCTATCTGAGCAAATCATTGATGTTAAGTACAAGATGAAATCACAATAACAATACGGCTTGTGAATAATGTACCAGACAGTACTAGTTGTATATTGGGGGGTCAGATAATTTTTTACCATTGATTGAATTTGCAGGAGAATTTTTCCTTGCATTGTCAAAATAGATTCTGATTTTGTGAATATAATTTTAATATTGTTTTTCTTCAACTTGTTTCAAACTAGTCTTTCAAAACATAGGCCCAGCTTCTCATAACTGTAAAATCAAATGTATATATTCACACTACCGAATCAAAATTATTTTTCTTCAATCAGTATTTTGTTCATTTTGATCGAGGAAAGATCTAATCATTCTGAATTTGTCATCTCAGATAGATCTGAGAAGGTGAATGAAGGTGTGCTAATGGTTCAATTGTTTTCTTTGTTTCTTTAGAGCAAACTTTTTTTACATTGTTTAATTTTAATACTTGAATTTTGATACGCCATCCTCTGAGTTTCACTATGTGAAAGCATGTTTGTCTGTTTGGGATTGTCACTCTAGTTGGTATCATTGTGCAGTCAGGTGCTTAGTTTTAGTTTTAGTAAGTGTTTCACGGCAGTTGCAACACAAATAGGTCATATACATGCCAAAGATTAGATGTGTTACTCAGGAATAACGTTAAAGAAAAAAAAAAGGGGGGGAGGGGAGATAAGGGCAATAGATGTTTGATTTTTAAAAAACCATCTGCTATGGCGCGGTTTGTTGATAAACTTGGTCAATACCCGTAGGTTCAGAGTTTGAGCTGAAGTATAGTTCAAATTTTTGTCTCCTTACTGGCATGTTTTTTTAGTTTTTTAAAAATCTGAATTTCTTGACCTGACACTAGGCGAAGTGCTCTGCCTTTAAAATATCTAGTCTTGTGCAAATAAAGCTCTAAACTAAACTGCATTTTCTCATAGTCATTTTAACTTTAAACCTGTATTTCATGTGTGGATGTAGGACGCCTTTAGTAGGTCCTACTTCTTTATTTTCCTTCTGTTTTTTCTGTCTATTCTACTTTTTCCCAGCATTGAAAATGACCATTGTCGTGTTGGGTGTGCTTCTCTTTACTCGAACAAACAAATAAACTTGTAACTCTTACGGCTAAGATTGTTTTGTTAGTGTGAATCCCAACAACTTAGACCAATACATGTTTGATTTTTGTACTTGTTTACCCAAACATCTTTCCTGCAAGTTAGTGGATAGTCAGTCTGAATAGGACACACTTCATGAGTAAGTGTCCCACTGTATGTATAATGGCTGGGTATTTCTTTTATCCCTGTGCAATAATTGAAATAACACTGATTTCATACTGTATGATATCGCTGTGATTATGTAGTCAATGTTTCTGACAAAATGTTTCACGTTTATTCATTACAAAGGTGCATTAATTTAATTTCTTTTTTTTGTTAGATAAATAAATTCCAAAGCTGCCATCTCACTTCATGGATTTGTGTGATTTATTTTCATGATTTTTGAAATATATTTTTTTTAACGAGTTGTGTGTTGAACCTGTGTTTTCGTAACTGTATTTGTTTGTACAGTCGTTTCCACCTGAGACTCGGGTTTGAGCTAAGGGCAATAAACTTTTCGAAGCGCCCTACAATCATAATTTGCCCTTAAAAGAGGCCGGACAGATAGTTTTTAGTTTTAGTAAGAGTTTTGCGGCACTTTCAACACAATAAGGTCATATAGGTATCGAAGTTAGAGGAGTTACAAGAGTAACAAACACAAAAGAGGAGGAAAGATAAGGATGATAGGTGTTTGACAGGATAGAAGGAGCAAACCACACCAGAGCACCTGCCAACCACTCACACCGGACAGATAAAGGAAACAATAAAACACAGCCAGGAATGAGTGGAGGAGGAAAGGGAAGGAGAGGGCAAAGCAGTGAAGAAAGGAAGACAGCCTTCTCACACCTCTCACATCTTGTTTCAAATGGCTCCTCCAACTTTCTCTAGCCTATCAGGACCTGCGTTTGTGGTGGTGTGGCAGTTAAGCGATTCACTGTCAGGCTCAGAAGATCTGAGTTCAATTCCCGAGTGGGCAGATCTTTATCAAGTATCATGGTCTTTCTCCTGGAATAGTGTATCCCTCTCGGCCTAGGTTGGCTTTGACAAGTCCGCTAGCGAAATTATTTAAATTGTGTTCACAACAAACACCTTCAATACATTTTAGTATAGCCCTTCAGCTTCTTGAAAGATGAGATGAAGCAGTGCAATGAAACAAATGATAATGTAAGGTAATTTATAATGAAGGAGGTAGAATTAGGTCGGGGAGAAGAAAGTGAAGGTGGCACGAACTAGCTGACAATAAAATCTACACTCTGTATGTACACAGACACAAAATATTTTAGGCACACATGTAAGCTTTGCTGATAATAAGGTCAATCATGAAGTAGTTTTCGATTGGTTCAATACTTACATCCTCTTGCATTGCTTATTATTTCAAGTCATGTATCTTCTTCCTCCCCCCCACCCCCAATATGGTAGAATAATAATAATAGATAGCATTTGTATAGCGCATATCCCCGCTCAACAGCAGGCTCTATGCGCTTTACACTATATTATTACCCCAGCAGACCATAGTACACTCCGAAACATTCTCAGCTTCCCGGGAAGCATACAGTGCAAGCAGCCGATTAAGCGCTCAAACACTAACAAACTGACAAGATCTTTCGCTGTCTATAGCCCGGTACCCATTCCCACCTGGGTAAATTGAGGAAAATTCGTGTAAAGTGCCTTTCCCAAGGACACAACGTCGGGCCCTTGACGGGATTCGAACCCACGACCTTACGGTTGCGAGTCCGAGAGCCTAACCACTAGGCCACCGACGCCAGAATGTCACATTTATACAATGACCTTTGCCAGTCAGTTTATTCCTATATTGTAATTTCAATTCCACGACGGACAGTGCAGCTGACATTTAAACAGGTGTATAAACAAAGGCAAATTAGGCAGGGGTAGACCCAGAGCAACTTATTTCGAAAACCTAAACAGATGACAGGGGAAAGATCAGAAGAATATAGCTTTTTTTTAGAGAATCTGAACAGAGGAATGAATGGTGAACTATTATTGCAGATGTCTATTGCAGATCTGGCACTTGATGAAAATGATGATGACAATATGTTATCATTTCACCTCTATCACATGCACCTATGTATACTATGAGGGTGGTGAGCCTTAAAAACTTTCTAAACTGTCTGGACCCAATCTAGAAGGGATTCGAATTCTTGTCCCAACATCACAGCAGAGTTTCACGTTTCATAAACTGAGACTGAGATAACTACACACCCCCTCTCTGATGGAAAAAAACAAAAACCTTCGAATGAGAACACAGTAAAACATGTACAGTGTATACTTTCTTTTGAATCATGAAAAAAACCTGGATTCATTTATTGAGAAGATGAAAGACAATACATTGGAACACTCACAAAGTTATAAAATTATATCACTAGCCTGAGTCTGAGTGAAAACATGCACTCTAAAACGAAATGAAAATATTTGAAAATTATTGTCTTGCATGTCCAACTTTTTATCTAAAGCGAGGAATGTAAGTGGGAAAACAGGAAAGCTGCCGTTACACTAAAATTCTGCAGTTTCCAAACACACACAAACACACCAACTATTGAGGACTCTTTTATTTTCAGTAAAGAACTAACCCCTTTCTCCGCACAACACAAAATCCCATTTCAAAAACAGAACTCCTGGCCTTGTGGCTCCTCAGGAAGAGCCTTACAAAGAAAGAACATGCTGAACATGCACAAAAGTAAATATTACATACAGACAGCATCATTCCGCAAGCACTTAAGGGGTCTAGCTACCAAGAAAAGCTATCTTCATTATTTATGCATCTTTTGAAACCAAACTTTTCCAAAATAAGTGGTACACTCCCAGGAATAAATCAAAATGTTAAAAACAATTTAACCTAAAGTGTTAAGTAACACCGGCTACCATATTGAAATTATACAATACTTCGGAAAATCTCAAAATTGTGAAAACCAAAAGGCATAATGTTAAGTTTTTAATAAACATCAAGTTACTAATAATAGTTATAGGTACCTGGCTGGGTTTTTTGGTATACTTCCAACATTCTAGAATTTCTGGGGGTTTCAAAGTAATGTCCCTTTTTTGTACCAATTTTAAACACAAAATCAATTTCAAATGCAGATTTCTGAAATATTAAGTACACATTTTCTCAGATATAACTAGCCAGGTACCTGTAACTACCAAATCTGCACATACTTGGAAAGTCTCAGTACATTATCTTGATTAGTAGCTCAGATTTTTAAGATTTTACTGATGAAGGGTCTTTTAAAAATAAAGTTTTGAGAAAAACGCATTTAAAAATGTCACTGTGTAATTTGAGGGTTTGTTCCTTCTAGAGGTTCCAGTACACCATATAATATATGCACTATTATTTCTAATCACATAAAATCTCATTTCTGTACAGTAACAAATAACCTCATTTATAGAAGTTCAGTGAACCAAGTAGGCACGAAATGTAACAAAAAAAGAGAGGAAAAGTGAATAAGTGGTCGTTTTTGCAAGAGGGAGATGAGGTCGCTTGAGACATACTTTCACCTATTTTATCGATTTTTTTTACCAAATGGACCATAAAATCTGATTCACCAATGATCAAAGGTGTTAAAAAGCTGCTTTCCAGAAAATCAAGAATTTCATCGAAAATTGACCAAAAACGTTACTCGCTAGACCCCTTAACCCTTTGTACCCTAAATCTTGAAATTTCTCAACAAATCCCTGGACATTTTTCGCAAATTTCATCAAAGTTTACGGGGGCACATACACAAAAAGACTGAGGGGAAGAACATGGAGAAGCAAACACACGTGTTCACTCCCTTGTTTATCTTATTCCAAGGTGGAAATATTGTAAGATGACGAACAAGAAATAAAGAGAATTCTTTTGACGGACTACACAACTCAGAGTAGTCCGTGCTCCGGAGAACCGGCCTAACGGTAAACACAAAATGTTGCCCAGGCCTAACAGGTTCAAAGGGTTAAGTCATTAAAAAAATATTTGTTTGTGTTTTGAGCAAATTAAAGAGAGGGCCCAAATCAGAAACATGACTTGGACACTCATTATTTTTTTCATTAAAAACTAGGAAGGAAATAACAAAACAGAACAAAATTTTACTGTCAGATGTCCCTTGAAGTCTTTATTTGAATAACAGCTTTATATGTAAACCCCCAGAAATTGACTTTGGGGATTGTGAAATGATGCTAGGATGTGCATTATTGCACATTAAGTTCACATGTGCTATTCACCCATCAGAGAGGGATTATGTCTCCTGCAGGGCTGTGCTAGTTACTTTGAAAACTGAGACAGAAAAAAAAATGCAACAATACACAGAAAGTTCAGAAAGAGGGAAAACTATGTACCTAAAAATTAAAACAATCCAAAGTGAATTTGAGTAACACAAGGAGAATAATTAGTTAAATGTGATAGACCAGAGTCTTCTACATCTTAAAGCTCAAAATGCTGATACAAAACATTATTGCAGGGCCGTTAGAACTCTTCTAACAGTTTAGAATACAAACTATGATGACTGAAAGAAAAATATTATAAATCATAAACCTCTGCAGTACAACGAAATGTTTCATGGTAAAAAATATATACAAAAGTATATTTTATGCCAGTTTCACATTTTAAAAGAATGAGTTAATATCATTGCAATACAGGGAACAACGTACCACAACTCTACACTTCCATTTCTTTTTATTCAAACTAAATGCTCTCACGCACGCACACACACATACACAACTATCCAGCATTTCAAATGGAAATCGAAGCAAAAACTTAAAGTTAAAGGCATCTCTCCTCAACAAAGTATTAAATATGAAAGACAAGGCAAAAACATTGGAGCATGCAATCACAAGAGTTGAAGGCTAAAACTATGATGAGAAATAGCAATCAAAATGATAGCCCCATGCACTATGCACCTCTAAATAAGTTCTTGTTCCAGAGTATCCTTGAAATCCATTAACTTCAAAAGATTCTCAGAATGGCTTGATGAACTTTACAAGGGACTTTGCTTCAGAAGGCGTCAATGAAACAGGGACAAAGAACAACAAAAATTACCTATCCTTTTCTCACATTATGGATTGGGTAACAAAAAAACATAATTGCACCCCAGTACCATTTTTCAGAATTTTTTTCAAAACAAAGTTGATTATCTATACTAAACACAAAGAAACAACATAAACGACAAAAAAATTCAGGACAAGCAAATCTATTCTCTAAAAATGTATTTTGCTTTGTGCCTGTTCGCTATGTACATGATTGACGGTAAATTAAGCTTATCTGTTCTTTTTATTTAAAAATAAATAATTTCTAAAGATATCACACCTGCAAAGAAAAGTGCATATTTTTAGTATATAAAGAACAACATCCCTGCACCACCTAACACCAATCCCTTTTGAGTCAAAGAACAGCAACACACAACTCTCTAATACAAGACTTTATACATTGGAGCAGAATAACTGCAATAGTATTACGCACTGCTGTGCTTCCTTGTTGATGCATGGACAAAATATGGGTTTTCAGCCTTTTTTCCTTCTCACCTATCCATTAAAATCCAAAAACAAAGTTTCAGGTTGTGTTCAATTGTTGTGTACTCTCATTGAGTGAACTCTCTGCTAACTCTAAAGAATTATGGGAGCTCTGACTTAGTCTATTCCTGAGTATTTATAATCGTGATCATCCACTGTTTCATATGAGAGAGATCAGTGATCACACAGTAGGAGCATTGAAGGATCTTGTGATTGGACTCGAGTTAGATGAAAATGTAAACGATAACACAGAGCTGATTGTACTTTAAATGCAAACCCTTTTCAGGCATTTGTAAACATTGTTCATCCCTAAATTAGAGGCAAAAAAGTTGCCCCTTCACCAAAAAAAAGAAAGAAAATTCAGAAAACCATCTACAACTTAAAACAATATACAAAGCACAGTACTTTTGTCGGGTTCCTTTTAAATTTGGTCCCTGACCCTGCAGACGGTTTGTTTTAGTAAGGTTTTACGGCGCTCACAATAGTCACAACTGCATAAGTTCATATGAGTGCCAAGGGGTGGATGTCGACAGAGAAATCAAATAGGGAATCAGGCTTACTCTGCTCACCTCTCTAGCGTAAACAGCACAAAGTTTGCTTCGACTATCAAGGCACCCCGCAAATAGCAGTTCACAAGAGAGTGACAAACATACAAAAGAAGTAGAGGATAAATGACGATAGTAAGGATTAGGAAAGAAAAAGCGGCAATTCCCTGCAGACTGACTACCCAGGGTAAATAAAATATTATCATAGCACATATGACTACAATATACATGTAATGTGCTCAAAAGAAGCAACAATTTTCATACAAATGTGTTTTGATTTCAGTATAACACACATTGAATATATTCCATGTTTTCTTGATGACAGCTTTTCATTAAATCTAACACCTCGAGAGAGAATTGAAACAAGAGAAGATATTGAATTCAAAGAATGAGTTGAATGGAGAAATTTGAGTGTTACAACAGTTCAGACACAATCAGAAATAACTGTATAAAGATGTATGTTTGTATGTGTCACACCAGTAAGCAAATCAATAGTTTTGAATGCAAAATAAGTCAGGTCAGCACTGACTTAATGATGGCTGTATCTCTTGACAGAGCATGACAGACAAATATTCAGATGGCAGTATTGGAATAGGGATAAAAGAGGGAAGAGCATATCAGTAGTGACATTCCACTAATCATCTGCCAACATTTCATATTCTAAAAATACTGTTTTGGCATTGCCTGTTCGTTATGAGACTCACAGAAACTGAACATGCTTATGACACAATGTGATAATCAAGACATGGTACTCATCCACACTAGCAATGCACTTCAGCAATATCACTAAACTAGTAATACGTTTAAAAACAAAAACAAAACAAGCATTCGCTATAAATCTAAACAAGTCATCCATGCACATGTGCAACACATCCAAAATACATTTAAAGTAAGTCATGGCAGATTTGAATGCAGGTGGCCTTGACCTGAGCAAGAAAGTGATCCAAAAACTCCACCTATACACGTACAAAACAGGGTCAAACTCAGACTTAACAATCTTTATACACCTCAGAGCACTTCCTTTACATATAATCTTGTTTCGTCCACAAGAAAGAACTATATGTATATAAATCACATTATGGCCATAATGATACAGACATAAACATCTATAGGTCTATATAGACCTCCTTGGAACTTTCAAGCTTTTGTTACAGGGGCCTACACCTATCTGTTTATTATCTGACTATGAACTCCTTGAACTTTGAAAGAGTTGTGTTACTTTCTTATTTGTGGTTAAAAAATTCTACTCTTGACTCTTGGGCAGATAAAAGATCAAAAGAAGGCCTTACTACAGAAAATATATTTAAAGCTCAACTCTGTCGGAGGAAATGGTGACAGTCAAAGAAAGAAAAAAATAACAGGTATGCATACAATATATGAAACAGCGAAGAAATGATTCATATCAATGAAAGAAAATTCCAAATCTTGACTTTCTCGCCCAAAATAAAATGCTAAGAATGAAGTCGGCGAAAGAGTCTTTCAAATAGAATAGCACCATGAATACAGATGAAATCTTCAAATTCAAGTAATGTCAAAGATTTCACCCCACAAGAGCATGAACGAAACGATTTATTTGCCATTTTTTAGAAAGAAGACTAATTATATCTGTATGGCGTTAACACAATAAATACAAAATCGATGACCTTAAAAAAAGACAATGTTCAGGCAAAAAGTAAAAAGTAATACACTTTCTACATATAATGCTTTGAGCCCAACCCCTCACAGGGGGCAACCATGCCTTACTCAATTCAGTGAAAAGACAGTAACAACTTCACATGAATACTAAAATGAAAAGCAAATATCAGGAAAGATGACTGGTAGTAGGTTGACAATATTATGTCAGTCAAATGTAAGAAAAATATCACAATAGAAATCGATAGCATTATATCAATTGACTGAAAAAAATAGAAAGTCATTCTAGTCACAAATGGGAAAAGAAAACACACCACAACAGAATCCATCAGCCTTTCATTTACACAGGTGGTTCATACAGAATAATTTCATCAACACTGACGTCTTTACAAAAAGGATAAATGCAATCTGGAAACTTCTCCTCATGATCAGCAAAATCTTTTTCTGGATGGAACTAGCTCAGATCAATCTTGGCCCACTTGTTTTCACCAACTGCATGTTTCATGAATTATCATTATGATTAATGGCATGTGAAGATTTATCATTTATTCCAGCAAAACAAAGCAAAACAATAAAACAAATTGTGATTCATGCCAACTTCGTTCAACAAAATTTGTTGAATTAAAATCCATCAAACTGACGAGCATGAATGCAGAATAACAGAAGATAATTCTGTGCCCTGAACAAAAAGCAAAAACTATATTAAAGTTATCACTTTGTAGTTGCAGTAAATATAGGAACAACTTGTAATTTGTGCACTGGCCATTGAAGAGTATTACCCATTCATAACAAAATGGGTGCATAGACATGCAATCTGATATGCTCTCAGACCAATAATGAGACGAGCACAATTATTAAATAAGCTTCATGAAGCGGCACCCAGAGAAGAAAAATGCAATGCATCCACAAGACGTTCTTTATCAAACACAGCTGGAACTTTTGCTGATTCTTTTGCCAAAAATTTAAAAATGTACACAACAAGATTAGCTCACTGCTTCATCTACTTTACACACCACTGAAAAACAAAAACATGCATTTATAAGAGGGAAACAGAGCAAAACATTTGGGTAAAAATTATGTAAACATGCTACAGGAGTGATCCACTTACAATTTGTTAAATATATGATGTCCCAGGGGCAAGTTTCCATACAAATGTCACTGATCCATTTCTAGTTGAGGACTTTGTGTCACTGTTCATTGCTGCAGCTTGAACTGTATAGCACATAATCAAATCTATCACACAAAACTCATTCTACTAAAATGTATTGACTTTACATAGATTCTACAGTCATACAGTTTGGAACACTAAGTTAGTAATATAAAACACCCACATCACTCAAACAATTTTTAAAAAACAACCTTTTAACCTGTCGGCAATGATAAAATAAAAATATGCCATTTTACTAATCTGTTATAGTTACCAGTTGCATAATCAGAAAATATAACACTCATATTTTCACATATGCATATGATAGAGCAAGTTCAAACATGTTTGCAATTGAAAAATAGGTTCTTGGCACTAGCAAGCAATGCAACACAACAGAAAAACATTGAGCTCAAAGTACAGTTACATAGGTCTCCAAAGCAATATATTCCAACTTTAAAAAATAACAATTTCATTCAAACCACTTGTCAAGAAACATTTATGACATTTCCAGGGCAGCAAGTAAAGAAGATAACAACCTGTTAGATAACTTGGACAGAAATACTAAAAATAAATTTACAAAAAAAACCCAACTAAAGTAGACTATCCCAGGCAAACAGACAAGAAAACCTTGTAGAAAAGGTAAAAATGTTAGAAATAAGTACAAACTTTAGAACCATAAAAGGATCCTCATTACACCGCTGGTATTTTCTTCAACGCAATCGAATGTCCATTTCTCTTCTGACCAACATTAAGGTCAAAGTTTCTTCTGACTGACATGATGCTGCTCTAGCCACTTGCGACAGATGTTGGTCACTGCAGATTGACCAAGTCTCTGAGCGGCCCCAGCAATTCGCTGGACATCCTCCACACGCTCCCGTTTCACAGCCAGCAGATAGGCAGACCGCAGCTTGCCACACAGGATAAGTGCATTGATCTGAAGACACAGAGAAAGCAAAGTACTTTATTTTTCTATTGTACATTCAGAATGTTAGTATAATATGATACGGTATCAAATGCTGCAATATAAGACAATTTGCAAACCTCAGGTCAGAAGTAGAAGATGATGAAGTTGAGATTAACACTTAGGACCTACAGTACCGAAGGCTCATGTAGTAAAAAACCATCGAGTACCGCACCAGTTTAGAACGCTGAAGCTGTGGTAGATTTTTAAAAATTAAAAAAACCTTGGCAGCCCAAGGCACACACTTTAAAAATTCATAGAGGTTCATCAACCATTCAGCTATCATATAGAGTGATTTACTTTAATGCAGGGCGTCCATTCGTTGTTCAATTATGTTTAGTGTGCCTGGTAGCGTCTGCGACTTAAGTCGCCAGCGGTAATGAGCGCATACAACAGCCTGGCGACAATAGTCGCCAACGATACTGTAAGTGTTAAGGGAAGACCCGGGTCGGCGATCACAGACAATATCGATAAAATTTTTCAACCAATCCAACTTTTGTTTTTTGCAAAAAAACATCCTTTGACATCTGTTCTATTGAGTCACAATGACGAAACTGTTGAAAAAACACCCTAAATGATCTAAAAGGGCGTTTCAAAAGTGCAAATTGCACTGTAAATCCTTTCAAAAATCTGTTTTTTCTGTTTTTCTCAAAATCTACCTTTTGACATATGTGACCTCCTTGGTGCAAGGAGTTTTCAAAAACTACTGAAGCTACAAGCCTCAAATTTGGCGTTCATGTGCTTTAAGATCATTTCTGGAGATCTATGTGAGGGAATTTGAAAATACTGGTAACTTGTGAAAATATTCAAATTTTTTTGTAATATGTACTCCAAAATTTCGTCAACTGACTCTCGGGGGTCCATTGACTTTCGGCTCACTTTTTTAGTTTTGAAGATAGGTCAAAATCCTCACATAGATCCCCAGTTCATATAGGTTTGTACTTGTGTGCCAAATTTCAGGTTGATAATTCAATATTTACTGTGAAATTCTTCTGCACTAAGAAACTGGTTTGAAAATCCAAGATGGCCACCACAGAGGCCCATTGTTTAGAAAAAATCAACAAATTCACCCTTTGTACATCCTATTTACCTATGAACTTCTTGCACAATTAAATGAAAGTGAATAAAAGTAATTCGTTTAGAAAATTTTTCTGGGAGTATACGTCTCCCCTTAAAAGGATTTACTTTTTTGAGACCCAATTATTTAAGAGTAAATTTAAAATGTCATATACCCCTAATTAAGTAGTAGGGCATAACAATTATACCCCCGTATTTTTCTGTTGACATTTCGCCACCTCAGAATTACGAAGTAAGTGTAGGAAAAAACCTGAAATAGCCGCATTAAAGGCAAAATTACAGCTTACTAAATCGGTCGTTAGAAGGAATTACAGCTGGTGACACTTCATTAGGAAAAAGTCATAATTTCTTTTAGCGGAAGAAAAATAATTCAAACATTTACTACACTAGCAAGAGTAAACAAAGACAGTATCTAATGCATCTACTGCAAAAAGGAGAACAGCTGCCTACCTTATTACTGTCATTTCTCAGCAGTTGTATCAGTGTATCACTTTCATCCTTTGCCTGTGGAGTGGAAGAAACGTTTTAACCCCTTGTTTTAACTGAACATTATCCACATTTTATGAACTCAAGATAAGATGAAAGATGAACCAAGTGAAAAACATTATCGACAAACCATTCAAATTTACAAAGTCCAGAAAATATAGCTTTTCAGGAGAGAGAAAAAACAACCTTTTATTCTTCTAATAATTGTACCTACATTTTGAATCTTTTCTTGCTCTTTTTCGGCATTTAGAATTTGCTTTTCAACAAAACATTTCTTGATCCTATATGCAAACAATACCACAGATTAAGAAACTGCACCAAAAAAAAATTCAAAATTTTGGGTTCCGTACATCTAGACGAATGGCTGGCAAATTATAGTAAAATGATCAATACTAAGTAACCCAAATCTTTGAATTTACCTGACTGTGTGTGTGGCTGTTTGCAATGACCAACAGCGACGCCCCAACAATCTCATCGATAGTCTCATCTGTGACCATTCCCTGTAAGAGCAGGTTTTGGATGAGGACGTTGATGTCTGAGAAGCGGCCTTGCTTCGCCAGCTCACGAGAGCAGTGGGTGAAAATGTGGGTGGGGTCCAGCCGGAACTCCTGGTGGGGACAGAAGAAAAAAGAGGTCAAATCAGTTTGAAAGTTACAGGCTAAACTATCTCTGTCTTTCTCTATACTATATACAGTCGAACTTGCTCAAACGGCCACCTGTCCAAGACAATCACCTGTACTATTACTGACAAATTTCTGATATCTTGATTTTCCGGTCGAGCCTCGGTGTCAAATACAATTCCGCTTGCCGCCATAGCCGCCTGTTCGCTTGAAACGAACTCTCAGACCAGGAAAAGCTGAATAAACATCACAATCGCGACCGGCAAAAATGGACTTAAAGACGTTATCGGATTTGGTTTTCAAATAATATTCGAGATCTTTTATGTATTTTCCCGGGTCTCTGCGATTTAAAAAAAAAAATTCCTGGGGCCTGGCACCCTGCTCCCAGCAACTCTCTTCCTGATCGGCCCGCTGTCGCGGTAGCGGAGTTTAGCGGAGGAAATGGCGGTAGCGGAAATCCGTTAAATAGCGGAATATTGAGACCCATGCTACATACAGTCGAACTTGCTAAAACGGCCACCTGTCCAAGACAATGACCTGTACAAATGACCACTTCCCTCTGTCCCCCTTGTGTTTTAGGAATATTATTAAGACACTGACCAAGACGTCCATCTGTCTAAGACAACCCTTTCTCTCCTCCTCAATCGGTAGCCCTCTTGAACAATATTGACTGTACACCCTTTGAATCACATGGCAAAACAAGAACACCAAAGCAGAAGCAGAGGAAAGATCAGAAGTTTCCACAGTATTCTCATTGCGCAAGCAATTCAGACTTGAGAAAGGTGAATATGAGACACTGTCCTGGCATGGAAAATGAAGGAAGACCTCAATACCTCTTTTTAAGGGGAGCATAGTGGAGAATAAAAGAGGTTGATGAGAAAATGAAAACAAAATCTGGATGTATGTTCTACCTTCTTTACAATTTTGGTGTCAATTGGGTCATAAAGAATAAAAGTTATTGACAATTCTTTGGACAACATTTTTTTCTGATCAGCTGGTAAGACACAATGATACCTGCAAGCAGGATCAACTTCAGAATCTGGGAACGAACAACAGCAGATTTTAAGCTGAAGTAGGAAGGAAAATAAGACCAGCGTCATGATGAAAGAGAAAGATGTAGCAGAAATGGCATGTATACAAAGCCTTAGAAGATATGAATTGTTGCAACAAGAGTGCTTATTCTTCCTATTCATTGAAACACAACATTACAAAATTTTCTGACATGCCCAGGCCTAGTTAGCCACAGAATCTATTGAGACAGGATATATAACGTAGATGAGCACTGCCCAAAAACTGGCATTTGTGGAGCCCGAATAGAGCCTACAGCCATTGGTATGTCTACGACAAAAAAACTATATCATATACATTTATGTACATATATCTTACATATTAACAAGTAAGTGCACACATATGAAAGCAACATCTTTATACCACTTAAAACAAGTGAGAAAGAAAGAAAAATACTGAGAGAGAAACACAGAAGAGAGAGAGAGAGAGAGAGAGAGAGAGAGAGAGAGAGAGAGAGAGAGAGA